ATTCTGAGGTTAAAAATGTGAAGTTTTTGGACCACTTGGTAGTAGATAATAATTTATGTGAGTTTATGACGTGAACGTTAATTTTTTTCTGGTAGCACTCGAAATGTGCATATAACTGCATACATGTCCGGTCGGTAGCACCGGTGGTGACCAGAAGGAAGTCGTGATCCTCATGAGACCCTTCTGACATACCACAGTGCGCTAGCGACCTTGTTAGCGGTCTGCGTAGGTGTCGGAAACCTCACATACCAGCGTTGTACAACTTTGGTATTCCTACTATGCGCTAAAATGTTTTAATGATCTGCAACACGCACATGACATGCCTGAAAACATCCGAGTTTCATCGGAAATCAAGTATCTCATTACTACGCATAGATAACAATCAATCATTTTTCATTCGTTGAAGAAACAAAAAAAAAAACAAGAAGAACAAGATGGCGAAACTAATGAAACCTACCAGTACGATTCATAGGCATTGAAAATAAAGATAATAGCTATTAAAATCCTCATACAGTTTGGGTTCAAATGACGCATTAATCTTATCGCTTCGTGTGACTTATTTCTGTACTGTATTTCTTTAGTTTCGTTAAATTCTTTAGGAGGCTTTGAGAGTTTCAAGCCTTTTTCGATGTATTTAAAAATATGTGCTTGTCTGCCATAAACGCAACCGAATTGGTTCGAGTTCGACGCAATGGCACCGCGAGATTTAAAATTATTTCGAACACATGCTGTGGAGAAAAGCGTATCGCTTAGATTTACGATGGAAAAAAGGGTTAATTGGCTTCAAGCGCACATTCCCTGAACGGATCCAGATTTGGAACAATCGTTTGTCTACTAAGGCGCTTAAGATTTAACTTAAATGCATTAACAAAGTCTTTTTTTAATAAAGAAAAAAAATTGCAATTTCGCATGCGCAGCGTACTTATAAATTCCCTTTTAATATAGACGTAGTAAATATATCTAGTGGTAAGATGGCGGTAGATAAAGTAATTTGTACTTTTATTTTTCCTATTAAAAGACCATTAAAGCTCGTTGAATAAGTTGTTTCTTGTACAAAAACATGTATCCAATGTTACTTGGATACTGTGCTTAATAAAACTTTTATTCTTAGCAATTAATACAATGTGTTTTTAATTTAGCTTTATTTTTATAATGGTATTCAATTAAAAAACGATAACCATCAAAATTTAGCAAGAATTATCTTAGCAAATAATATAATAATTCAATCAAATACAAGCTTATATACTACTTCCTCTCTTTATATAACATTATCCGCCCTTGAATTAAAAAAAAAACAGTTTTAAATTATTACGTGGGGCTTTTTTGCGGTGTGTAAACGTTTAGTAAGCTACTTATTATTTGGCACATATAAAAAAGCACCCCTCAGGTAGCAACCCAAAAAAACGATGCGCATAAGTTAAAAAGGGGAACCAAGGGTGTTTTTTACGAGCTATTCATTCATTGCGGCAGCTAGGTGTTTGACAAGTCTTCAACCTGTGAGGGTGTTTTTTATACTGAGATTTTTTTTATAGTTCTGCAAGGTGCAAAAAAACTCCCCTAAAAAATAACTATGGGGAATGACCCAAAATGACACAAAAATGAATGATGACCTTATTTTTTAAGCTTTCAATGTTATATTATGAGAATTTAGGGATTCATGATATTTATTATCACATGAACATGATTTAAAAAAAATTATATTTTATTGGAAGATGATATCTAGGATATTATTATTATTATTTTGGTTTTAGTTTAAATAATAAACGAATTTAAGGATATAACAGTTGGATCTAGTTAAATTTTATGTATTGTGCACAGCACGCGCTGTAAATATAGATATTCACTCCACATATCTGCATTTAGATAAATCTGTCACTCTAGCGTGATGCCCCACGCTGAATGATTTCAGTCAAAACACATCTTGCACGCGTTCACTCCACATATCGCATATATTCTTTGGCGCTATTAACATCCGCCCTCACTTTTCTCTATCCTTCACTCTCCATCACCGCCAATAGGGTGCAACTTTTGCATATTGTATTCCAATCGCAGTATGCCAGTAACAAACAATAACAACAACGTACGATTTTGATGAAATCAAGAAATAAGCTCGTGCGGCTTGTCCATCATTCGAAATTTTGCTTATTTTTCCTTAAAAATATCTAGCCAAAGCAGCTGCGTACCGGATGGCGTATAGGGTTACCAATGATTGTAGTTACCTTGACCGCCGACATATCGACCATAGGAAAAAGGGTGAATCATTCTTTTTTCTTCTATTCTTCCCATTTTTGCCAATACCAACATGACGCACTCTTATGTGCACTTGAAACATTTTTCGCATTTTATTTGCTCGATACTTGACAGAACTTATTTTTTGGGTCGCTAAAATCTGCCTGCATAATGTAGCAAAAATGAAAAGGGAAACCTGAACTATTTTCGGATTTTGAATGAAAGAGTTTAAGAACAGATGGCAAAAAATGAATAATACTTGTTTTTATCATGAAAATGTGCAAAGGCTATGCATTATAACATTCAAAAGCTGTTTTTATCAAAATTTTATCTGAGCGGATGTAAAAATTCTATTTTGAAGAAAAAAGTGCCGACAATTGAAATTGAAGAAGGAAAAAACGTAGGTAAAAACAGTTATAGCTTTTCAACAATTTTAAACAACCCTTTCGACCCGCTGTGAGAAGAAAGAAGGCAAATGTAACCCTTTCATCGACCTGTTTTTTGTCTTCTACGCTTAAAGTGCAGCATTTTATTTATTTTTTTGCTACGCTGACACTTTTTGTCCCAAAAACAACATTTTCTATATTTTTGAATTTATTTGCTTTCGGTCGGAAACGCGCACAAGTTAGAAACGCAGCAAAATACAACGCAGGCAAAAAATAAGGCACATTATTTTTTGTGGTTATTTTTTGCGGTCGCTTCGTCAATATTTGATATTTTAATTTTTTTCCATTGCTATCTCTCTATCTGCTTCCGATCTGGCGACACAAAAATATTTTTCCATGCGTGCGGCCATAATAACCGTATAATTTTACAACCTTACACAATATTTTTATAGTTTTATCATTGTCGCATTGTTTTTTTGTGTTATTTGCTGGCAAACGTTTTTATTCCAGTTGTGTTTTTTCTGCTCGCTTCAGTTGAGTTCATGCTTATGTTTATCAAATATCCGCATCCCCAAAAATGACGACTATCAAAAAGCGCGTCGTCGTTGTTTGCTCTTCTGGGACGTGTTATCGCTTGCGTATTTGGCCGGTGAAACCAAAGGGCAGCATTGAAAACATTTATCTCTGTGCGTGCTTTTGGTAAAAATATATTTGTTATTTTTCAGATAACGCCTGAATGTGCGTTCTCGCGGTCATTACCATCACTGTAAAATCATGGTGGTGTTTGTTGTTGCTTAATGTGAAAATCTATTTGTTTAGATTTTAATGTTATAGATATTAATAGAATAATAGTTGTAATCTTTTTTCAATATTTTGCAGCGTTCAATTCTTTTATGAACTTTATTCATATTGTTTGCTAGTGCTTTCGATATTTGTTGTGTAAATGAGTGATTTGACTGATTTGAATGTTGCTAATCACCGGAAACTTCCATGCTTTTTGTTGTGTTTATTTTACAATTACTTGTGATTTGTGATTGCAAACAGTGAAGATAGCAGAAACTTTTTCGGAACTCAATGATAATTAATATAATTTCACTGTAAAAATACTACATTTTTGGATATTAATTAATTTTGATAATTATTTTGTGCATGGCTGTACGAAATGCTATAACAAATGGTCGAAAACGTTAGAAAAATAACTACAGTTTGCAGTTGTGCTGACTGATCACATTTTTTCTCGCCCACAATCGCCGCGCCGCCTGCGCATGCAACTAGGGGGTTTGCTATTTTTTCCGTACATCGGGCAAAACAAAAATATAAAGGGTATATGCGAGGGTGGTCGCCCGAGCGAATTTTTGGGGACCGCACTGCACTCGTGTACATGGATATGTGTGCGTGACACGACGACCAATCGCATTTCGTTGTCGGTTCACCCCTCGTTGCTTCCATCAAGGGTTGAATGAAAATTTTTAGCCAAAAACTGCAAAAATACGCTTTCATTGCGGTGTGAAAATCAATAATTTTGAAATGCATGATACCATCTGCCGCAAAACGCAAAAGTTATTAATTAATAATTGGAAATGTTTAATTTATTACGCATGCGTGGAATATTTTAATAATTAAAGATTAGAGGTTAATTGATGTAAAAAAATACACAAACACATAAAACACGACTTAAATGCATGTTTTACAAAGCAATCAAAACGTTTCCAATTATTATTTAATTGCGTATGGAATATTTTTGTGCGTTTTAAAAATCTATTACGAGTTTTGAAATGTTTTGGTTTGTTATTGATAGTACACGTAAAAAATTTACGACCGAACAGCGGGTATTTACCGATCTTGTAGTCAGAAAAAGTCAATTATACGAAAATTTTTACAAACATTTACGACGTACAATTCGCAAACAAAAGGGTTGCGTTTTCTTGGATTTTTCGTAGATTTGTGCACTAATCGCACCCGAAAATGCCATAAAAACGCAATTGAATCACACGCGCGTATGAAAAATTCAGGTAGCGTATTATTATTGCTGTTTTGGCAACAGCAACGACTAGAGAAATTATGACTATAAGTCGGCCATTACGAGCGCAATAAATTAATGCCTAATTTGCAAAAGTTAAAGTTAACTTGGTATACCAAATAGTAATTTGCATGTCTGGCGCTGACCGAACTTAATCCGCTTAAACGGACTCCCGGCCATTGTGCGCAAGCAATACTCGTCTTGCGTCGCCGGCGAAGGGTGCAAACCAACCCACCAAGAAAAACCAAAAACTTCTATTTTCTCCGAAAAAAAATATTGGGGGTTTTGGCCGAGTGGTAGGGAGTGGGGGTGCGCATTTCAAAAAAGGCCGAGCAGAGTGTCGAAATCAGTCAAAACGCATTTGGATTTTGCAACGTGCACATCGTGCACTTTTCTTTCCTTCGTACGGACTTTGTGACATCGAAATATTGTGAATATTTAGTGAATTTTGTGATTTATCAAGTGCCTTTATATAAACGGATATTCAACGGTAAGTTTATATTTTATTAAATTTTAAAAACAAAATTCAATGTATTTCGGTGGGGGAGAATATTTGTTGGCACGAGCCGTGCACGTTGCGCCACACAATGTGCACGCATTCGCGGCGGCCCGTCGAAAAGTCAGAAATAGGGGAAATTCATTGCGCTGCATTTGTTTGATACTACCCGCTCAGTTTGCTCGTGACGATCGCACGGTGCGGTTCGCGGTGTCACACACTACTTTCATATTTACACACTAGTGTGTATTATTATAAAGAAACGTGTTTATTGTTTTTCTATACTTATAATATCAAATGCAACGAACTATAGGTACGGTTGTTGATAAGAAACTGCATTCTTGTATTGTTATACTAAATCACGTGTTGAATTCAAATGTGTTTTATTAAATGTTTTATTTTTTTTATAGAATCCGTTAATTAAACTCACCGAATTCGTGAAATGAGAGGTGGTGGTGTCTGCTGGGACATGACTTCGACCTGCGTTCAAGGTGGACTCCCACGCCCACTGGGTGGCTATCAACCAAACGTTATCATGGAGCCGCATTCGCCGGCACCCGCATGGAACATGCATCAATCTGTTGTTCCTGTAAGTATTACCTATATCAAAAACTTTAATAAACCTAAGAAAATGATGAGAATTTATTGTCATGCCAGACTAGAGTTTATGATTTTTAATGATTTTTAAAAATTCTGAAAATAAATTTAATTTGTAAAAAGTTGTGTTAGTATTTTGGAAAGAAATTAATTTTATTTTTGTTTATTACAGAAACAAGAACCAATGGATGAAGATATGCCGAATGATTCCGGTATTAACTCCGGCAGTGATTTCCACTCATCATCGCCTGGTAGTGATAACAGCCAAGATTACAACCCAGTTTACTCAGCACCAAACATGGCTCCACATGCGCCATACTACTCTACGCCTGTGACCAGCCAGTGTGGACGACAATCCAATTTCTCGATGTATCACATGGGATTCAATCCGTTGACACCACCCAGTATTGAACCGCTAGTTTCACCCAAACCGCCCAAACTCGAAGCACAAGCTGATGAGTGTAATACTACACTTACTCCACATGCTTCACCAACGCCACAAGAACCAAAGACACCTTCTTCAACCGACAGTGATAAACGCCGTGATGATCACGATAATCCGCTACGGCAACTGCAAATGACTTTTGAAAAGAACGGACTTCTTCCCTCTGCACTCTCGCCAAAAACCAACAGCGAACATTCTGGCGATGATGACATCAAAGAATCATGGGATGAAAATGAAGAAGGTGTGCGTACCCCAGCAGTTAATTCACATGGCAAAGTTAAGACTTTTAAATGTAAGCAATGTGACTTTGTTGCCATTACCAAGATGGATTTCTGGGAGCACAGTAAAGCGCACATCAAGACCGATAAGATTCTAACCTGTCCAAAATGTCCATTTGTGACTGAATACAAACATCATCTAGAGTACCACTTGAGGAATCACTTTGGCTCCAAGCCATTCAAGTGCGACAAATGTAATTACTCCTGCGTGAATAAGTCGATGCTTAATTCACACATGAAGTCTCATTCCAATGTGTACCAGTACAGATGCCAGGACTGCAGCTATGCCACCAAATATTGCCATTCGTTGAAACTACATCTTCGTAAGTACCGTCATCAACCAGCGATGGTGCTTAATCCAGACGGCACTCCGAATCCTTTACCGATCATTGATGTCTATGGTACGCGTCGTGGTCCAAAACAGAAGGGAAACAACTTAAAAGGTGACCAGACTCCTATTGACCCTGAACATGCAACTTCTTTTATTCCCACCTCCCAAGCCCAACCTCTTCCCCAACTTGCTAACAATCCCTTTGCTACTATCATGAACTTTGCTTCCCAAGGTCAACTTTCTAATTTACCTTTCCCATATCCTTTCTTCCCGGGAGCTTTGAGTAACCAGCTTTTGTTGGCTCAACAACTTGCATCACATAACGCATCAGCCTACGAAGATCGCTGCTCCGAGAAGTCCACCTCACCGCCACCATCAGTGTTCATGTCAGAAAACAACGAAGAAACTTTCAGTCAGCAGGAAACCACGGGTGCTTTGGATCTGTCCAAACCGGAAGCACCAACCAAGCATCGTCGCAAGGGTAAGGCATTCAAGTTGGAACGTCCTCAGCTACAGATGCAGTCTGATGGAGAAGAAGAACCCAAAGATCCAGATGTACCAACACCTATCAAGGCTCTGACGACACCACTACTCCCAGCGGTGATTAAAGCAGAACCATCACCACTACCGCCGACGATTCCAAGCGCCGCCGACTGCACATGCAAATTCTGCGGTATTGCCTTCGGCGACGTCGTTCTCTACACCATGCACATGGGTTACCACGGCTATAAAGACCCATTCACTTGCAACATGTGCGGCGAGCAGTGCAACGACAAAGTGGCCTTCTTCTTGCACATCGCGCGCAACCCACACACATAAACTTGAACCCACAGATTTTACCACAAAATCTAGTCACCGAATGAACAAGTCTATATATTGATTGATCTCGTTTGTCCGACATACACAAACATACACACAGATGGAGTGCAATTGTTTTAGTTTAGATTTTATCGAAAATAACTACGTCATACAAAGTGAGTTTTATTATTAGTTCTTAATGAAAGTATTTATTGTTTAACGTATCGTCGATGATTATGTATAAGTTTATGTTCAGCTGAGTGATTATTAAAGGACGAGTCAAATTTTCGACAAATATTGTAAATACGAGTATTCACTAACAGTCATTTTCTTGTATCACATAAATTAAATATATACTTAGTAATAATAAATATTGTAAATTGATCAAAACATTGAAATGCTAGAATCCAAATATTGCCTTTGAATTGAATGTCAAAAGATTCAGTACGAATATTTCGTTTGTTTGTGCACGACGATAAACACGACTAAAATAAGTTATTTCTAAAGCGAAGATCTGTAGTTGACTTTGCAACCCGATGAGTACGTTATTGGGGCCATACCAAACCAAGACTGATGTAGATACGAAACTATTAAGTTGTCGAGTGAATGGTTTTAGTTTTAGATTGTATTTAGTCCAGAAATGGTATACTCTGAGCAACCGATCAAAAAGTTTATGCATTAATATGAAATTGTATATATTTTTACGTAGGTATTTAATATTATTCGCTCACTAATTAATAAGCAACTTAAACAATTATACTAAAATGATACTTTTGTGTACTGATATAGTGAAAAAAATTATAAAATTGCAAATTATTTAAATGGAGACAATAAAATAAAATAAAAATCAAAAAAATGTTTTTTTTTTTCTTCCTTTTTTTTTCAGAAATAAGGGGAAGAATAAGAAGTGTGCTACTTTAATTTTATATTAGGGTTGCGTGACGGGCTTCCGTTTGAAACTTAAAATTTGACATTCGACCCTCTTATAGCACGTGGCTACACTTCAAGCTGTGCTTTTTGTGTTTTTGGGGTACGTGCCATACGCATACGTCTCATCATAACATTTCCGGTTGGTTACATCATAATTTACCCTATGACAATATCTAACGACTTGACAATTGACAATTTTGCCCCTTGTTAAAATAAATTTTACAAAAAAAACTAAAAAAACTTCAATTTCCTATATTTTTCAGGTAAAAACTAAAAAAACAATTTGCCAAAATAACACAATTAGTGAAACTAACCCCTAACTGACCATCATCAACATAGAAACTGTTTTTAAGAGAAATACCTACCGAAAACATAAGAAATAGAAACTTGTGGGTGGACATAAACCTGATGGATGGCCAGCACGCACCCAAAGTATATAATCATGCGTTTCGCATCTGTTTGTCGATCATTTATTTGTTCACTCATTTCTCGCCGATTTAATTAAACGCGTTTGCGCCGCACCAAAAAGGCTGACCAATGTCCGCCATCAAGATAATTGCAATTGCACTTTAGACCGGAGATGATTTATGAATTTTTCAAACAATAAACGGCTCCGCATTGATCATGTACTGTACCTACATGTGTGTGCGTATGTGCTGGCCGAACAATTGCACTCCATCGATAACTGCAATTGCAATCGAAGGGCGCTGACACTGACCATTGGTCATTCGCATGAGTCATACCGTTACAATCGGCGACAATATTGAAACCCACACGCGCCCTGCAAAATTTCACATGGATTTTTGACCAACGCCAGTGTCAAATCACACGGGTTTGTGAAATATTGGCGATTTAGTTACGAATGATGTTTGTTTCCGTATTGCTGACCAGTGGTGAGTGTGCGTAGGAGGGTGAAGGGTGTGAAGTGTAGGGTGGAGTGTGTGCGCACGTTTCAGTGTATTTTAAACGCAACTGGACATTGGACTGCTCACGTCACATATTGTATCAAAGGGCAGGCTTTGTTTTCGTTGATATTCCACATTTCCAACCCTGAAATTACCCTGAAAGTTTGCTTTTGTTGGACTGGCAATGAAAACATTTCAAAAAGAATGTAGAAATTTAATGATGGCAATAATCGTTTGGATCGAGTCCAAAAATTATTCTTTGTGGAGTTTATTTTAATCGAACTTGAGTGTTTTTAAACCTTTTTTGGTTTTTTCTATGAACAATATTGTATTTAATATATTGAAACTGTATTAAGCTATTATTTATCTTTCGTCTTCGTTTTCTTCATTTCCTATTTTATTCTTTATCTTTTTATTCGTTTTTTGTCTCTATTCTCGAATCTCGAAACTTAACTTTGTAATAAATTGCATTATTATACTGTGAGGCTATAGAAATTATTATTATTGACTTTTAAAAATGTTTATTAAGAATTTATAATTTTATTAAATATTATTTTGTAATTTAGGTATAACTTATTTATTTCGTACAATTTTTATATAGGTAATCAAACTGTAGGTAAATAAAAAATTACATTGCACTCATTCCGCATCGTCCGAAAGAATCCGCCATCCGATATATTCCTCGCGCTCCCCTCGCTCCCGAAGGAACGCGCGGAAAAACAAAATCAATACTTTGATAAATTGCACTGCCATCAACGACCCCGTCCCCTTCTATATGGCGACGCATTTCGCTGTATCGTCTCGCGTCCTGCATCCGATTCGATTTTCGGTCCGCCATTGTATAGGGCGTGGTGTAAAAAACTTAAAAAAACACGCCACGCCTGCAAACCCTATCTATTTATTCGTCGAGTCACGAGCCACGAATAAAAAAGGGAGCGTACAATTTACTGCGCTCACTTGAAAGCTAAAAAAAGCACACGGCCCTCCATGTTATGAGTATGTTTTGTATATACAGTTTGGTTGCGTTTGACGATGATTCGCTTGCATGTAAATACAGTAAAAAATAACTAGTAGGGGAGCGCGAGTATAAAAAAGGCACGCGCGGTGTAAAATTTGGGGTCATGTGGCGCGTGTTTGACTAATCACAAGTTTAAGAAGGGTGTTTTTTTCACTTTTTACATAGGGGAAAGCACCCCTAAAAAATATGAACCCAAGTTTGCAAAAAAAAAATTTGATGGTAGAACTACTTAAAAAATAGGAAATGAACAGGTTTACTTTAACAAGTTTTTAGGGGAAAAACCTAACAGGTTGAATTCTTTATAGGTATATTTTTTAAAGTCTTTTATTGCTGCTTTTTCCTGAAAAAAAAACAATATAAAATAACTGTTTATTTTATTTACAAAACCAGCTGTCAGATTTCAACTATAGCTAAACGATATTGTACCAATGTCCAGTTGTTGAAGCCCAGCAGGGTTTCTTAATTAAGGCCAAATCGTAATGCGCCGATAATCCTCAGCTTACACACGTATATTTTTAGACTTTGAGAAACGTCCCACACGGCGTGCAACCTTCAAACGCTTGTCCACCCCACGCCACCCCAACATTTCGCCCATTGTCCACTCCACATCCTTATCCGGTCAAATTTTATTTTATTTTATTGTATCTGTTACGTGCATTACGCTGGCGCTCGATATCCTCTATCCACCATCCTTTCCGCAAAAGTTCGGGACACTTTTTCTCAGCGTGTATTCACCCCCGCGGTCACAGCATCAATGACCAACGGTGCTATCAGAATAGCGCACACAATAGTTTAATGTTGCCTGGGTGAAGAGACTCGCTACTCGCAACAAAGAGTGTGAAGCAATTAAAGCCACAATGGAGGATTTAAAATTTTTTCATTTGGTAACTATATGCGGATGGCATGAACGACATTGGATAATTTTGCGCGCGGAAACGGTAAATACGTTGAAATGAACAAACGTCGGTGGAGAGTCGTTAGGCAAACGGTCGTTGGTGTTGAGGGTGAGGTACTGAAGTGCCACACACTTCCACACGCTTGGGCGGGAGATACTTCTTCTTTGCTTCCTTGGAAGATGTACTTTAACGGTTTTGAGGTTGTTGAGGTTGAATTTAGCAGCTGGACAATGAAAGTCTTTGATTATACTTTTCTTTATAATTTACTATTAATTATTAATTAATTTTTACATTTTTTTAAATTTAATGCCTATGCCTGAAAATATACTGAACTAAATCTTAAGTCCTTATGTATTTTAATTTTGTGTCTATTTTAATAAAATGTAGTTTTGTAGTCTGGAAAAACGTCGACGTCTGCGGTCAATAAAACTAAATCTCTGACAGGCGTCCATATTTCAAGCGGCGGCGTTGACGAAGTCGACGTTTTCCGACACCCTCTGCGCACAGCTTTCGGCGCGTTGTTGTACGCGGAGACAAAAATGCACTGTTTTTGCTATTTTCGTCGACGTCGCCTTTTACTACCGCGCACTGGCGCACCATTACTGCCGAAGAGACGAAAAAAAAAGTGCCTCATCCATTTTACATCAGGTCGGAACCCTTTGCAGGAGCGCGCCGAACGAAAGAGTAACGACTTCGCTTGAATGAAAAGTCAACGTTTTTAATTAGTCAAAGAGCACAAACTATGCTTCATTGCGGCGCCAGTTGTTTTACACCGCTTCACGCAAACGCAGTTAACGTAAAAATAAACAAACCGATCTAATCAGCAAATTCAAAATGGGTGCCCAACTAGTAAATTTTAAAATAATTATATAAACCAAATAAATAAATAAATTAACGGGTTGAATCCTTGAGATATAAAATGTATTTTTAAAAATTTGAATTTGAATACAAACAATGACGACAGAATTTAAAATTTACCGCTACTTATTTTAATAAAAAATTAAATTGTTACGTCGGCGTATTTCCTGACCGGAAAATAATAATATTATTAACCATCGTGTCTTATAACACATTTTACAGATGAAACGACAAAATTTTATTGCACATTGTAATTTTTTGTGGGTTTTTGACCATAAAAATTCATAAAATATTACGTAATATTACAAAAAAAGGTAAAACATAAATTTTGTATTCTAAACAGATAACAGTTTCTCTTTTATTGGTTTTAAGGGTTACAACCATCAACCGTTAAATGATTTCATTGAACCGGTAAACACGTTTTTCTGTATTAATTGTAGGTACTACACAATTTTTCGCTTGTCAGATTGCCAGAGATTTCAATTCTTTTGATAATCCTATTAGGATTTCGACGTATTCAAAATTTCGAACCTTATTTTTATAGGTTTTCTAATAAAAAGCAGATGTAATACGTCGAGCACTTATCACGTCACGTATATCAAAGCGTGATAAATATTAAATTAAGTCGTCGGGCAAAAAACGTGGCAGGCATCCGAAAAATGAATGTAAAAAATATTGGCGCACGTCAAGAACCGATCAAAACATCCAAATATGAACAGCGGTAGAGGTACCGAAAATAGTTTCGAAAAATAGACCTATTTTCTCATTATTCCGCATTTTGTCCTTCCGTTTAGCACTCGCTGGAATTGCGAAAGGAAGGCGAGTAACACATAGGTACCTAGTTTTGTTGTCAGGTAGTAGAATCATGGGTTTGGTAAAAATGTTAAAATTTAAATATCTTCAAGTTCCATTCGGACGAGTGACAACTCGTATCGATCAAAGAAAACGTCCACCCTCATAGATGCAGTGCTTCCTTACTAAACAAAGACTCACGTATACTATGCCCATATTTTTCTTCTTTTTTTGCAACGAACAAACGCACCGATCTTTTTGCGTCTTGGATTTTGCTTTGCTTTGCACTGAAATTCTGTCGTCAAGCATATGGCGATAATTTGAATGGTATATCGGTGCTGTATGAGGGATTGAGGGCTACCGATGAGTCAAAACCGTAGACCACTTCCTTTTTTATATGCTTTTTGAGGTCTTTTTGGCGTTTTTGGCACTGCGTGCAGCGTGCGGTCGGCTTTAGCTGCCCGTCGATTTTTTTCCGGTGCGGCACAGTCTCGGTTTATAATGTAGACATTTCACGGTACTTACTTACCAGAAGAGATTACAGATTTCGGTAGCTTTTATTGGACGTAGTGATTAGATGGAATTAGGATACGTTTCGACTTCTTTGTGGTTCGTACTTCACCCAGCTTTGTTGTTTTCGCCATTCATGATGTCTTCATTCAGTTGCTCGTATAGAACTAACTAAAGTTAGTTCAATATTATTCTAGCGGATTTAATTCGACGCGCAATTCAATAGCTATAGCCGTTAAAATTAAAGTAAACAAATACATCTGATAAAAGTATCACATGTTTTGTTTTTGTTAGGTATCTTTAAGTTTGAAATTAGAAAGAGTTAATATTCTCACGTTTTTTTTTCAATTTTTTTTCTGACCTACCTATAATCAATCAACTTGAAATGTCTATGGATTTTTTTTGAAATTTTCTAAGAAATGCAAAAAAAGAAAATATTTTAGCCATTATGCTAACTTTCAAAACCGGGTTAAATTTTTCCAAGCGTACTTTGCGTACTATTGTTGAAGATCACATAATCTTTTTGCTAAATCATTTTTACCTAGTCTAGACATCGGACAATGTAGGTACTTATACTATTGAGAAGGAAAGTAACTACAAATAAGTACTTTCCTGCTCTTAACAAATTGAATATGCATGTACTTAGCGTATAGTGTCAATGGCAAAACACTTGCATAATATCATTCATGCATAATCTGTAAGTTTTAAAAAAATGTCTAACTGTTAAAGGAAACACAAAAATGTAGATTTGCACATAATATTAACTATCTTTTTATATTTTGAATATATTTTTGCCTAACAGCATCGCTTAGAATATTTAGGCAAAATTAGTTTCAGTATTTTAACTTAATTTTTTACTCAAATATTGCCTTGATTTTTTGTATAGGTTAAAGAAAAATTATTTTTGACTCTCTAATGTTAATACATTTTCAAAATAATAATAATCCGCCAAGAAATTAATGCATTTTTTATATATATATTTTGAAATTTATTTAACGTGTGACACTAAATAAACGAATTTTGATGAATATCTTAAAAACTCGTGTCAATCAGATCGATCAAACCGCTTTTGTGATAAATGGCACGTGCAGATTTCCTTTGAGGGATTTAATGATCTATCAAGATACAATTCTTTACATTGTTTGCCTATTAGATATATTGACCGTTTGGCGATGATCCCGTCTTCGTCTTATCCAAAGATTTGAAAATCTAAAAATGCAAAAACGCAAAAACTCTAGAAAGCTACCCAAAACGTATAAAAATAGCTCGTGTCCATCAATAGAGAGTAGCCAATAAATAAAATATCAGTGACAATATCGTTCCGATAGGTTGTCGTTATAGGAAACCCATTGTCTGCTTCTTTTTTTTTCGGCGTGCACAATGAGCGTGCGTGTGCATGCGTGGCACATGTGTAAAGAAGCGGCTAACTGCAGAAATCCCGGACTGCAGCTTTGCCAGGTGCTGGCGGTGGCCCTCCGCCATGATTCAAAGTGTGCCTTCGACCCCGTGCGCAAACACAAACCCACACACAAGTTTGCATCGCCTTATGGTCAAGCGCGTTTTATAGAGCGTGCCTAAATGACCCAAAGCGAACACCTTAAAATTTTAACCGAAAAAATGTGACAAGACTAACGATCACCTAGAAATCAAAACTTACAAGAAAAATAATTATCAGTTTTTTTTTCTTGAACTCTAATTTAACATATTTTAAAATTATTTTACATTATTTGATTAATTTTTATTATTAAGAATAATTATTGTTTTTAGTATAAGAGAATATTTAGATATAGGTATATAGTGTAACATTATTTTTAATAATTATTATCATTATCAACGTTTCTTTATCCTCAATTTGATGCCGTTTTTAGATTGCAAAGTAACATTTGTAACTAGATGTAATTCATGTTCCCAATCTGGTAGAAATTCATACTGTCGCAACAAATGTATCAATATGGTCTTCATCTGAAGCTGCGCGAATTTTTGACCTATACACCCACGAGGCGCTATACTAAAAGGTATGTATGCACCAGTAGGGATTTTTTTCACATTTACATCATTAAAGCGTTCTGGATCAAACTTTTCTGGTTCTTCAAAATAATCTTCATTTCGATGTATTTCAAGCAATGATAGATAACATTCAAGACCTGTTGGCAACACATAACCATCTAAAAAATTATAAAAATTAATTTACCTACCTATATAAAAGAATAAAATATTTAGGAATAACATACTCCAAGTTATCTCTTTGGTGATGTATCGTGAAATAAAAGGCACTCCTGGGTAAAGCCTAGAGACTTCTTTCAACATCATGGAGGTGTAAGGTAAACTTTCTAAATCATTATAAGTCGGTGCGTTATCATTGCCTACTACAGTTATTATTTCATTGTAAACTTTAGTTTGTATATCTGGATTTCTGCTTAATTCGTATAAAGCAAAACTTAAAGTTGAACCTGTTGTTTCATGACCCTAAAAATATTTAATTTTATGATAAAATATGAAAAAGAACAAAAAGTTACATTATAAGTTTAGCTTACCGCAAAAAATGAATGTATTAATTTCAGCACAAACATCTTCGTCTGACAATTCTTCACATTCTAAAAGCATATCCAAAATAGTACGAACACTACCAGCACTTTTTGAATGCCTTCGTTCTGTTATAAATTTATTACTAAAATCATTCAAATATTTTGCACACTGTTGTTCAAGCTTTTTATCCGATGTAAATCGATAGAACCAATCATATCTACTTAAGGAAAATCCACGTTTGTATAAAATATTACACATTGTATGTGCACTTGTCATATATTCCGAAGTAGGATTATCTTGAATTTTAATATCTGCACCTAGTGCAGTATTTAAAATAATATCCATTGTGCACAGGTTAATATACTTATGAATATTGAATGATGGTTGGTCAATTCTGTCTTGTAATTTTTTACATAGCACTAGAGATTGTTCATTGAAAGCGTCGATGTGATTCATGAGATTTTTCATGCTAAATGCCGGAGCTAAAAGTTTTTTTATGAACTTTCCATTTGTCATCTGAAATTTATAAACATAGTTAATGTGCATATGTGTGTATAACATGTAACAAAATTACATTTGGAGGTCAAAATTCCTTCAGAGAGCCATGATTTAATAAATGAATATTCTACCGTTTTATCCATATTTGTACTGAGAACCAAATCAATTAATTTGAGGTCATAAAGTAATAACTTTGCATGTGGATACATTAAATACAATACATTGTTTTTAAAGGATTTGTATACATTTGTAGTAATTTTGAGTGCATCTGTAAATAATAATTTATATTATGAACCATTTTAAAACGAATATAAAGGATACCTACTTTCAGGATTTAATAAGTGATGTAATCTAACGTTTAGAAACCATACGCATCCTGGAAATATTTTCCGTAAATGTCCAAACTTTCTTTCATGTTTTACATGTAAACATAAAACACATGCCCCCAAAATAACAATTAATGCTGATAATACAGTAAACATGTTAATAATATTCTCTACTCCGTTAACGACAACGGACTAACTTGAATGCAAAATGTATTTATTTATATTGATAAACTTAATAAAAAATGCATTTGCTAGCGATACTCTATGTCAATGTATTTTTGTAATCAAAGTTATATTTACTTTATCTACTCGAAGTAATACTTTAAGTTGCATATGAATTGCGCAGTTGAGTGCCCAATTTAATCATATTTAAAGAGACATAAACACTTGAAAACAATTTGTAAATTTTGATATTATCTGTGGTTTAATAAAACAGGTTGTATAATATTTTATTGCTACTCGTCCAGTTTTTTAATAGATCAAAGTGTAACAGTAGTCAAATTCAATTACATCTTTGCTATTTACAAACATATATTACTTAATTGGCTACTGAGTCTTCTCGACGTTGAAATCTCACTAGTATACCATTACTTGATTTAATCGTCATCATACTAATCACATTAATGTCATGTTGGGGAATAGCTGGCAAAATCTTAAAATAGCGCAGCATTTTGGTTATAGTAGACTTCAGTTCCAACATGGCGAATTTTTGTCCGATACAGTTACGTGGTCCAGCACTGAATGGAATATAACCATATGGATGTCTCTTGATTGTGTTTTCTAACAAAAAAAACGCTCCGGAACAAATTTTTCTGGATCGGGGAAAGTGTCAGGATTACGATGCATGTTATATGCATTGAATGCTACCCGCAAACCTTTAGGAATGACGCCATTTTCTGTAGATAATAATATATTTTGATTTTAAATATTTTGAAGAAAAATGTAGTTAGATTTTTTAACTTACTGTATGGCACATCTTTGCTCAATGTTCTGCTAAAAGCCACTACCGATGGATATAATCTTAGAGATTCTTTAATTACCATTTCAGTGTACTTTAATTGATTTAGTTCATCCATTGTTACACTTTTGTTTTTATCTGTACCAATGACATTTACTATTTCATCGTAGACTTTTTGCTTTGAAAATAATGTGTTTTAATTATTTTTATTAACTGAGTTAAAATTTAATTTACCTGAACATCTTGATGTTTACTTAACAAATATGTTGCAAAACCTAAGGCTGCAGCAGTTGTGTCATGTCCCTAAAAAACATTTGTTAACCATTATAATTGAAATTGATAAATACAACTTACTTCAAACATAAATGTATCAACTTCTTCTCTAATTTCTTCATCAGTTAACTTGCGTCCATTTACAGTCGCTTGCAACAAAACGTCTAAAAACGAATGTTTCCTCTTTGTACCAAATTCATCTACAGTATCAAGAGTTCCTTGTGTTTCTAAAACTTTTCTTCTTTTTGTAATAATTGTATTACTAAATTCACGCAGTACTTTTAGCGCTTTTCGTTCTTTTTGGTGGTATTTACTTAAGCGATAAAGCCAGTAAAATCGCAATGGTGTCATACAACGTAAAAACATAATATGACACATTTCATTAATGCACTGCACGAAAGCCATATTTGGATTGTCTTGGGCATTTATTACAGTTCCCATTGCAGTTTCTAAAAATTATATACATATATTAAACTGATTATAATGTTAAATTTATTATCAACTAACCACAAATGATATCCAATGTGCACAAAGTAAGGTACTTATAAATTTCAACCGAAGTATTGTTTCTTGTAACTTCATCCTCAAGTTTTTGCACTAAAACTTTACTAGCATTGTCGAACGTTTGCACAAACTCTTCCAAAATGGTATAATGAAAACTTGGAGTCAATATCTTTCGATGGCTTTTCCATTTTTCACCAGTACTTGTTAATAATCCATCTCCAAACCATGCACTCAGGAATTTATATTCCATACTTTTATCAATTAAAACATTTGAACTTAAAATTACCTCAGCCAATTCTGGATCACACACAATTAAATATGGTTCTGTTCCAATGTAGGTAGTGTGACTGGTTTTACAATCATTAAACCATTTTAAACTAACATGCACTGTTTGGTTTACATCAATCAATTTGTGTGCATTTCCTATGAGAGGTAATCCCTTGAATTGTGGGAATATATCCAGTTTGGATGTAAATCGTCGATAGGCTATGTATTTTTTTAGAAGCCATAAACACAAAATTATTACTAAAGGCACTGCGTAATACATTTTGTAGAATGTACAAGTATTAACACGTACTAAATAAACTTTGGTTTAAAATTAAGTAAAGCAAAACAGCAGTTAATATATTGATAAAATGCAACATAACTTGTTTCCAACTTTTAGATTACGAAATCACTGAACTTGTGAACTTGTATTATGGAAACAAAAATTATAAATTCATGAGTAAGAGACGTGTTTTGATTAGCAGTAGCAGTTTTTATTTGCAGCAGACAACATTTTTGACCAACTGTTATCGGTTATTGCGATAAGTAGGTGGACTTTAATTATTACTAAATCGGTTGTTAATGTATTAAAATTTAATTTTAGTATTAATTCAAATTGTTGAAAATTTATATTATGTGTTATGGTGACTTTTCTCGATGTTCTAGCCTGAGTCTAATACCATTACTCGACTGAAGCGTCAACATAGTAATAACATTGACTTCATGATGAGGAATAGCTGGCAAAACTTCATAAAAAACGAAGAATCTTACTGATGGTAGACTTGAGTTCCAACATAGCAAACTTTTGTCCGATACAGTTGCGTGGTCCGGCACTGAATGGAATATATCCATACGGATGTCTCCCGGCGGAGTTTTCTAACGAAAATCTTTCTGGATCAAATTTTTCTGGATCTGGGAAAGTGTTAGGGTTGCGATGCATGTTGTATGCGTTGAAAACAATTGGTACACCTTTAGGAATGAAGCCATTATCTGAAAATTAATATTAATATATAATAATAATAAAAAGAAATAAAAATTATGAAATAGAAAATTTATACTTACTGTAAGGCACATCTTTGCTTAAAGATCTACCAAAGCACATAACAGATGGATATATCCGCAGAGATTCTTTAATCACCATTTCAGTGTATTTTAATTGATTTAATTCGTCAATTGTTACACTTTTAGTTTTATCGGGACCAATAATATGTATGATTTCATCGTAAACTTTTTTCTGTTAAATAAAATACGTTTCTTGATTTAGAATTATCAACTTAGTTTAATATAATAAACTTACTTGAACATCCTGGTGCTTACTTAATAAATAAATAACAAAACTTAAAGCCACTCCAGTTGTATCATGCCCCCTAAGAAAATTTGATATTTAATAGTCCTTTTAAATTTATTAAATATTACTTACTTCAAACATGAATGTATCAACTTCATTTCTGATTTCTTCATCAGTTAATTTACGTCCGTTTACAGTCGCTTGTAACAAAACATCTAAAAAGGAATGTTTCCTTTTAGTGCCAAATTCATCTACAGCGTCAAATGTTCCCTTCTGTTCCAACACTGCTTTTCTTTTGGCAATAATGGTATCACTAAAATTTCGCAGTTCCTTAAGCGCATTTACTTCTCGTTGATAAAATTTTGTTAGACGATAAATCCAATTGACCCGAAGCGGTGACATAACACGCAAAAAGATTAAATGACACATTTCCTGAATACTATGAACAAATGCTAAATTTGGATTATCTTGGGCGTTAATTACAGTACCCATTGCCGTTTCTAAAATTAGAAGTACATAAAAAAAGAAATTATATTCTATGCATTATCAACTAACCACAAATGATATCCAATGTACATAAAGTAAGATATTTGTAAATATCAACAGAAGGATTTTTGTTTTCAACTTCTTTTTCTAGTTTTTGCACTAAAACTTTACTAGCCTTATCGAATGTTTGAACAAACTCTTCCAAGATGGAATAATGAAAACTTGGAGTTAATATTTTTCGGTGGCTTTTCCATTTTTCGCCAGTGCTTGTTAATAAGCCATCTCCAAACCAGGCACTTGTAAACTTGTATTCATAATTTTTGTCTATTAAGACATTAGAACTCAAAATCACTTCAGCCAGCTCCGGATCGCACACAATCAAATACGGTATTGGTCCGATGTAAAGAGTATGACTACGTCCGCATTGTTTAAACAAGTCTAATCCAATCTGTACTGCCTTGTTTACATCAATTAATTTATGCGCAATTCCGATGAGAGGCAGTCCTTTGAATTGTGGGACAATATCTAATTTTGCCGTATATCGACGGTACGCCATTAACTTGCTGAGAACCCATATTAACAAAATTGTTGCAAACAACACAAACGCAAACATCTTGCTATAGTGTTCAAAAACTACTAAACTAATGTTCTTAATGTAATTGCGGTAATTAATGTTATTGCAGTAATTAATGTTATTGCAACTAATGTTATATAAATAAATGTCAAAACTGACTAACTGATAACACGAATTGGCATTGATTGCAGCTTTTCAAACATTGAACTTATGAACTGTAATTTTTGCATCGCAAAATCTGTTTGTGTCGAATATAGTAAAGTTTAGTCAAAATAATATTATAAAAAAATCTTAACCTTACAGGTTAAAACGTTTAACGCCCTTGTAAAAAAATCATCACCGACCCTAAAAATCGACCTCAAAACAAGTGCAATTCTAAAAAAAGCTCCACAAAAAACCACTGACGATGTAGTTTACTGATTGTTAAATTTCAACGCAACGGTGGTTGCAACATGAAGCCGAAAATGAATCCCGTCGCCGGGAATTCATGAAGCGTGCGACACAGACTGAAAGAAACAAGAGGGCCCTTCAACATGTGCACCTTTTTCCTATTTGGCTAGACTTCCGCACCTTTTTTATGTTCCCTATGCATTCACATCCAAATCCAATTCCTCACATATATGCAGATTATATACATAACACGCATAAAAACTACCCTATTTTTTCTGCATGCGCCCCGTCTACAGACGCGTGTTTTCAATTTTGAATAAAAGCGATGGAACGAGGAAGGCCCGACAAAACGTAGCGAAAGAAAAAGTTTGGAACGTGGTGCACACGCGCGCCAATGGCACGTCCCATCGGGCTTCCCTCTTTTTTATATTATTTTTAGCAGGAGACTAAAGAAGAGGGTCGCGCGCGACTATATATTACCTAGATGCGCGCGTATTTCAGGAACCCCTCATTTTTTTTACATCTATGTTGGATACCGTTTTAGACGCAGACTTAATAGATGCAAAAACGCTTTCAAAATGGTTTCGTTGTGTGTAGCACACGCCGCATATTTTACCAACAAGAATAATCAATGATTAACTTAACTTTTCCTTTTAAAAACAACATAAGCAACAATAAACACAATTTTTAACAAGAGATTGTTGTTAAACACTATCTGATACAACCATTGCAAGAAATTATGTTAAAATATTAGAAACTGCTTTTTTCCTTCTGTGTCATATACTTTTTTTATGTAGGTAATTCTTTTTTCATAAATCTTAAAAGTCAAGAAGCGAACAAAAATAAATTTTTGATGATACTCTGCCGGTCTAGTCTGTTCATGAGTTACAATTCAGAATTCACACCCGTTGCCAATCGTTTCAAACATGAGGTCGTGAGATGTTTTGTCAATAAATGTATGAATCAAAAAAATTGTGCAAATCATGGCAGCCCGACAACCCCGAGCAAATACGCAAAAAACATTCCATTGTTGTGTTTTTAAGTGAAGGACTGCAGATCACGGCTTCACTTAGATACTATTTAATCGTAAAAAGCGTTCAACGCATGATCATTTATCATGTTTTTCTATGTGGGTGATCAATCACACAAGCACAACTTAGATTCCCTTCTTTTGTAAATACTAGAAATTCGCCATGATGTATTCTTAAGAATGAAGAATCAAAATGCTTATTACTTGTTTTTATGCTTCTGTATCCAAATCTATTTCAAAACATATGTTTCATTGCATATTTTTACAGTAGTTTGCAATGGTAAAAGCCCAACATGTATGTATCATGCTAAAATTTAAATTTTTAAAATTCCCGCCAGAAAAGCTCAGAGCTTTTTTAGTTTCAATGATTGTCGCAATGATTGACGCCGTGATTGTCGCATTTTACAAAGTTTGCACGAAGTGCATAACCCCATTTTGTTATTTTCAAAATAATGACAACAGTGGGTTGGTTTCATTTGTTAATATTGTTATGAAATAATTATTACTCCATGTATTTATTTGTAGAAATCACAGATATTTTATGCGATTTTCTTGAAGTTTCCATACATAACATTCTTTACACTAGGAAATTATATCCAGAAGCAATATTTACACCTCGAAAAAAGTATGGTGTTACTGTCTACCAATCAGAACATCCAATATTAAATGAGTATATTACCCAAGTACTAAAAGCAGCCCAAGCTCATGCTCAAAACAATCAACTGAAGCAAATTATTTTGTGCATTAGAAGTGACAAAGTTTTAGTTGAGAAATATATCTTTGATGTTATACAATTTGAAAATAAATCCACTGAAAGGTAGTATATTTAATTTATATTGTACCTATTTTGTAATTAATTGTGTATATTATAGTGATTCTTTATTTGGTCAATTGGAACAAACTTTACGACATTTTTGCTTAAAGTTGTCTAATTCCATCCATGGACTTAAACCATTATCAAGTCAATCAGAGTTCGATATTATCCTACATACCACTGAATTTTCAGCTGTTGCATTTAATGAAGAACAGGAACAAAAGGTATTGGCATAATAATGTTTGTTTGTGGTAGTGAACATTTTGTTTTAGGAGTTTCCTTGGCTTCCAGTCAATCAAATTGAGTTCAATACACTAGGAATTGTACCAATACACAGTATTGATACTGATAAACTAGTCATGCAGATATACTTTGAAGAATGTGATGACAAGAGTTAACAAATAATTATGTTTTCAACGATTGCGTAAATCATAAAAATCTTGAAGCATGTTTTTTGTATCTGATAGTCTTTGTGTATATTTAGTTGCCTATATCTAAATTACATACAGAATCAACTATTCAACCAATCAAAGCCTTGGAATTAAGTCCACGTGGTTTCGTGCGTGATATGCTGATGTAATTGAACTGTAGGGTTATCGGCTCGTATTGTTGGAATTATCGGCTGTTCTTCTATTGTCCATGTTATTTAAAAATGTTACGAAATTTAATAAAGCCGCATCATCTTAAGCAGTTCATCACGAATAATGTCGCAGGATTGCAGATTAGAAACAAAGCCACAGCAGCAAGTAATTTTTAAATATATTCGGAGGCAGGTTATATTTTTATACAAGCTCTTGCTTTTTTCTTTAATTTAAAGATCCACAACTTGAAGATGCAGGATTCCTTGGTAGACCATTATATATGGATGCTCAAGCTACAACACCAATGGTAAATCATATTATTAAAGTTATTTTTATCATTTCATTTTATTTTTAACAATATTTTTTATAGGATCCCAGAGTTTTAGATGAAATGCTTCCATTTTTAACTTCATACTATGGTAATCCTCACTCAAGAACACATGCATATGGTTGGGAAACGGAATCTGCCGTTGAAAAAGCACGCGCTGAGGTAGCTGAATTAATTGGTGCAGACCCAAAAGAAATTATTTTTACATCTGGTGCAACTGAAAGCAACAACATTTCCATAAAAGGAGTAGGAAGATTTTACAGTTCCAAGAAGAAACACATTATTACAACTCAAACAGAACACAAATGTGTTCTAGACTCATGCAGGGCTTTAGAAGGCGAAGGCTTTAAAGTTACATACCTACCTGTTGCCCAAAATGGCATTATCTCACTAGAAGAATTAGATAAAGCAATAACGCCTGAAACATCTCTTGTATCTATAATGACTGTGAATAATGAGATTGGTGTGAAGCAACCAATCACTGAAATAGGCAAGTTATGCAAGTCTAAAAAGGTCTTCTTTCACACTGATGCTGCACAAGCAGTAGGCAAGATAGCTATAGATGTCAATGAAATGAACATTGATTTGTTGTCTATAAGTGGACATAAACTATATGGTCCAAAAGGAGTTGGTGCTTTGTATGTGAGGAGGAGGCCAAGAGTAAGAATTGAAGCATTACAAAGTGGAGGAGGACAAGAAAGAGGTTTGAGGAGTGGAACTGTTCCTCCACCCTTGGCTGTAGGATTGGGAGCTGCCTGCAGGATTTCACTACAGGAGATGGATTATGATCATAGGTGGATGGAGTTTCTCTCAAAACGTTTGATGGATAAAATCTATGGAGAACTGACGCATGTGATTCGGAATGGCGATCCAATTCTGTCATATCCAGGTTGTATAAATTTATCATTCGCTTATGTTGAAGGTAAGTTTTCATGTGTGAATTATTGGAGTTGCTTTATTAACTTTTCTTTAGGTGAATCGCTGTTAATGGCGCTGAAGGATATTGCTTTATCTAGTGGATCTGCTTGCACATCAGCTTCTTTGGAACCATCATATGTATTAAGGGCAATTGGGGCTGATGAAGACTTAGCACACAGTTCAATAAGGTAAAGTAGCATCTCAATTGCTTCAATTTCTGTATGTTCGATTCAAATATTTTTTTGCCAGATTCGGCATTGGCAGATTCACAACAATCGCTGAAGTAGACTACACAGCCGAGCGTTGTATCTCACATGTAAAACGATTAAGAGAAATGAGCCCCTTGTGGGAAATGGTCCAGGAAGGAATCGACTTGAAGAGTATTCAATGGTCTCAACACTAAACGAACCAACGTAAGTAAAGCATTATTAATATCAGTAATAAACGCATTCAACCCCTGAATGGGTTTTAGTTCACAATTCATCACAGTTATTTCGGACTAAACCGCAAATTGCGCACAATCTCATTCACCCAATAAAGCAAAATTACGGACTAGAGCATATTGAATTTTATGCCATTTTTTTTGGTTTTGTGAATTTTTATGGCATACATATCAAAATGAGAATTCCTGAGACTTTCAGCACAAGCAGGCATCTTCATAGACCTCATCTGCATCACCTATCTTGAAACCATGTTTATCCATTGCTTGTAGTTCCATTTTGGATCTGTTTGAATGCACCAATTGACTAGCAATGTCCTCAAACATGTCCTCTAAACCATCTCCAGTCTTGCATGATGTCTTGAAGCTAGCAGCTATAATATTATGGCATTGTTCACTAAAACAAGTTAAATCAAATTAGGGGAATATTTTTTGTTGAAATTATTATATCTCACCAAAATGATTCAATCTCAGCATCTGTGACTTGAGGTGTGGATGTAATCAAATCATTCTTATTTCCACATAGGTATATTTTGGCATTCTCTGCATATGTGACAATATCAAGTAAATGTTGTGAGAGCACATGAAAGGATGCAGCATTGTCTAAAGAAAAGACCAAAATTGCAGCTTCAGCAAATTTGTAATAACTTGATGTAATTGAGGCAACCCTCTCCATGCCTCCTGTGTCCCATAGTTGCAACTATAAATTTATAACATTCTAATAAAATTATATATATATATATATACATCACAAAAACTGCAATGCCTTTTACCTTAATATCCTTGTCTCCAACTGTGTAGATTTTGTCATAATGATCAAGTCCTAATGTGGATTGTCTGTCAGTGGATGTGATAAATGAATTGTTGGCGAAGCGTCTAAATATCGAACTCTTGCCTACACCGTATTCGCCGCATAGTATCACTTTTTGTTCTGGTATTTTTGTTGTTGCCATTATGCAATGATATTCGTTAGAATTTTGTTCGTTATTTGCGTTTTTGTTTCTATTCGTTTAACCTCCAAAATTGATTCCGAATCCTCCCCACCAATGCGGCTCTGTAATTTGGAATGTAGGGAATTTTGGTTTGACAGTTGCAATCAAATGTCTTTGTTCATAGGAAACCGGATAAACGATATTTCGCCGCCAAATAAATAAACAAGTGACTCATGTTTTTAGCAAACCGTCCTGCTGTAAGAAATAAATATGAAAGAATTCGAACAGATTATTCCATCGAATTTCGAATCTTCTCCATACAATGCGTTCGTGAGTATCCTTTGAATAAATTTTAGAGACCGACCGAAATTTCGGTTTCGGCCAAGAAATCTGGTTCCGGCTTCAGTTTTCGCCAATTTTTGGACGAAACTTTCGACCGTATGAGACACACGATAGAGGTTTGAGGAAATCCTCAATATGTTCTAAAAATTTCCAATCTATCTTCAATCACTTTACTTATATATATTGCGTAATATTGTTGTAAATAGTTTTATTGCACCATTCCTTAAATTGTTAAATTTTGAAACTTAAATTAAACATATTTTATGTAAGTTACAGTTTCGGTTTCGGCCGAAACTTTCACTTTTTTAATTGAAAATGTGGGATTATTAGAGAATTAATACGGCCAATAAATATACTGAAAGGTTCTGCCAAATTCATGATACTTTTATAGATTTGTCAGAATTAAAAAAGGCGTGTTTTATTATTTTAATACATTGTAAGGTACTATTTAAATATATTCAGACTAAATGTAGTTTAAGTATTCTTTAACAAAGCACGAGGGTCTAAAATTAATAGTAAGTTTAAAATTCCCGAACAGAAATTTAAAATTCGAAACTATATATAAAATAGCTCGAATTTAAATGTTTTTAATGTCCAGGTAAATGAGTCCTTTATGTTTGCATTTTTTTAAATATATCTTTATTTAGTCCCACAAATTAAGTTTAACGTTAGCAATAAAATATTAGTTGTCATGTAAGTTATCAAATCAATTATGATAATATCACAGTGATACTTATTCATCAAGCCAATTCTTAATGTGCGCTCTCAAATCAATTTTGGCTTGAACCATGTCTGGACCATCACTGGCTAGTGGTGCGAACATATCGTGACAATGACCGCCACCTAAATACAAAAAATTAATTAATAAGAATTGAAATAATTCAACTTATACTAAATTGACATACTTCCGATGTAGAATACTGCGGTATCATCGTTAATATTATCTGAGAGCCCCATTGGTTGCCATGGGTCGAGACCTCCGTAAGCAAACGCGGTATTTGTTATGGTTGGGTTTTGTCCTCCGTACCTTTCGTTAGTTGCAGCGACTGCAGCTGCGATTGTTTGAGCATTTACACTGCAAGTATACAATTTATATTATTATAAACTATATGGGTGCATATTAAAATTAAAACTAACGTTTTATCGAACGAATCTTCGCAGAGTTTATGATAAAAGTCAGTGGTGACTACATTTCCAAAGTCTTGATTGTCGTTGTTTGTTGTTACAAACCAACCAAAACCAGTACATTGTTGATAAAAGAAAGGCCTGAGTGATCCTTGAGCAGTGGACGTATTAGCATAAGCAGAAAGTGTGCTCTTGTAATCTTGATGAATACAGTAATCATTGGAAACACGTCTATAGTTGGCCAATTTCTCCGCTTCAGTTTCGCCCTCGGTGTCTAATAACTTCTTACATTCGGTTTGTAGAGTCGGCATACTAGTTTGCACCATATTTCCGAAGTAGGCTGCAATAGTTTCGAAAATCACCATTTTATCATATGGCTCATTGGACGGACGAGGTGTGCAGTATCCAAACATCTTGCGAACCTTATGTGGTCCATCTTCTTCTTCGTAAAGGTCTTGTAGTTGCTGCACGGCTGCATTAAGCGTGTTAGCGCATTCTTTACTAAGCAATCCAAGAACTAACGAAGCTCTTTCCAAGTATTCTGTATAATTAAAGTATTTATGAGTTAAAACATTATTATTGGAAGAAAAGTAACTATGGCATTACCATTCATGTCTTCTTTGGCTAAAAGTGGACCACTTGTTGCGTACACTGCAGTAATCATATCAGGATAGTCATGTTTCATCCATGTACTCAATGTTGCAGAGTATGAACAACCAAATAGCACTACTTTGCTGTGTTTATACTGTTTTTGCTTTTTTATCATTTTTATAAATCCAGCTAAATCCGCCATTGCTTGATCCGATGATAATAATTGGAAATTAGCGGTAGAATAGTCACTAAAAAAGTATAATATAGTATTCCTTTTTTGGTATAGAATTTAGGTAAATTTTAGTATAGAATTTTATACCCTTTTGGCATACTGTGGCCATAAAATCTGTGCTCCAAGTAAAACAGGGCCCCTTCATTTTCTTCTGCCATAAGATGCAATTGTCCGGAACTAAGTTGTCCCTGGGTGATTTCCCATTCTCCACCAACATAAATTATCATTGGAGGGTTTTCATCTCTAGCAAATTCGTCATTAGAAATGTATCGCTAGAAAATATAAATAGTTTTTATAATAGAATGCTCTCAATCTTTGAACATGTTTAACTTACTTGATCATAAGTCGCCCTACTGGCTGGATTAAAGTTGTCTACTCTTGCTTTGTGAACACCCCACACTTCACTCGACGAACTATTTCCCGAGTCCTCAGGAGTATGTTTGTAGGCATGTAGCGGTGCCACCTAATTTAGCACGATTAATTTATAATCTTTCAAGTTTGACAATAAAAAACTTACCACCAATGTAATTATAAGTAAACTATAAAACGTTTTCATTTTATTGCTTGAAAGATTCGCTGTAGAGCATACTTTTGAATGAAACTGATACTCCTTATATACTACCAAATGTTGTTAAAATATTTTAGGCATTTTGTTGTTTTATATTTAAAACCTACTATATGAGCGTGTAATTGGTGCTATTTTTGTGCCCACGTGAATATTTTTTTACCAAAAAAATGTAATCCTAGAGAAAACATTGAATAAAGTGCACATGGAAGTACTGATAGATATGGAATTTTAAAATCAGTGTGTTTTTCAATAAGCGCATATGCGCGAAAATACATTCTTGCACTAGTCGTCGCATGTTAATAATTATATGTGGTAACAAATATGAAATAATACTCCAAAATTGTTTAGTTGGGTCGATATTAAGTTTATTAAAATATACTTAAAATATTATGCGTACTTATTGATTGTATAAATAAAACAGGTAAATACATGTCCCTTTACATCGAGTATTAGTTAGACATCAATGTAACAATTAATCTCCATTATAATTTATATCTTACAATGCCATTATTATAAAGCTTACTATCTTGTTTTAAGTATCTTTTTGCGTAGCTTTAATTTCTATTGAAAGATAGTAAGTTTTATAATCACAACCGTTCTAACAGCAACGTATTTAATTGAGCTAGTCATTCCCACATCAGCCGACATCTTGACGCGTCTTTTAGACATTTTCATATAAGGCGTGCTATCTATAAAATTTTACTCATCAGATAAATGTTTCAATAAATATTTTGTCACAATGGCGATTACATTCACTTGGGTTAACATCGGTATCTCTAGGGTTCATTGAAATAATCGCGTTTATAAGTGTAAAAATGGTGAGTATTTGGTATTTGCACACAGCCATCCATTGTTCATATATTAATATTAAATATAAGTATAAATATCTAACAATAAAAAATGTAAATGTTTGTATAATGTATAATTGGATCATTTCGTTTGGTTGTATGTTGATTGTTAACTTGTTTACTATTTTTACTATTTGTATTCCGTATTTGAATTCTCACCAATATTGATTACTTTTACTGGACAGTCAGAGTTTGAATTTAATTATAGGGAATAATAAAAATGGCAATAATTTTAGGAATATAATACCCACTTGATGTGTTGTACGAATTAATGTATGTGCGCTTTAAATCGAAATGATAATGACATTCACATTCAGTTTACACTCGCGTCTCATCCTTATTGCTGCTGTTTATGAAATTTTGGTCAACGGTCCACATGTTCTTCTTCGCGATTGTGTCGGTTTCACGCTGTGAAAGAAAAAAAAAAACGATAATAAATACGTTGACATTCCATTACACTTAACTACATAGCTGCAATCATGCTTTAAATATCATTCATGCCGCATGCAATTTATTAAATTTGAATATTGGGTACCATTATCCGTAGCACAAGTAAGCTGTAAGATTAATTCCGTGTACAGAATTTTGCTTCAAGAAAGAAAATAATAAAAATGTGCAAGTGAGCTTGTTTTAGTGGAAAAATATTCAGAAAACATATGAATAATGTGTTACTTACACTGTGTGTGCTTGTTATATTTGTTAAGTATCTGTATTTCAAATGTTTTTGTTTGTTTGTTAACAGTGTATAGTTGTGTTTAGTGTTCAATAATTGGTGGTAGATTTAAGTCGTCGTTCACCTTAATAACGATGCCTTGATCGTCCTCGTCTTCGTCTCCTTCGTCCATTGTAGACAGACGTTTTTCTAGCTTACGATCTTCTCGTTTTTCCTCCTTCTTGTTGTGTTTGTTCTTTTTCTTAAAGCGGCTATAAATTGCAATAAAAATGTTCGTGTTACTGATTTGTTGCGGTTGTAGGGGACTTGTTTTAAATTTATTGTTACCCAGAGGCTTTATGTGGACTTTTTTTCTTGTCTTTGGAGTCCTTCTCTTTTTTCTCCGTGTTTTTGTTGTTCTCTTTGGCGTAGATAATCTGCTGTTTGTTTTCATGTTTGTTCAGTTGGTTGACTTGCTTCCAGATACCTGTCTTGTTGACTTCTTCAGTTATATTGATTGCTGAGAGCGGAATATTCATGACGTTGCCATTAGCTAATGGAATTTTCAAATTTCCGGTTGGTTCCAGTGGAACTTTGTGACCCTAGAATTTCATACATAAAAATAGTGTCTTTTAGCATTAGGTTGAAATTTGACATTAAACTTTAATTTGGTGTAGGCTTAAAAGTTTAGAAGTGGGTGAATATAAATAAAACAAAAACGGTGCGTAAATAAAATAAAATAAATAATATTATTATTCAAAAATAATACATTGTGTGGTTATAGGCGTAGCTGCATCAATAGTTTAAAAAAGTAAAATTATGAAATAATATAGAAAAAAAGTATTCATAAAATTGAGTTTTTCTTTGTTTACGTGTCGCTTGTTTTTCTAATGCTACGCATCAACAATCTCATTTGGTTAATATCATATAATATTGACTATCAGGTAGGTATAAATATCAAATTGGAAAATGTCTCTGGTGCACAAAACTAGTAAGTACTACATCTTTTCGGTAACTATTTTTTCGGTTCTGTCCTGTGTGAGGGCTGACATCTTACTACAGCAAAACTTGCGCAGTTTACTGCGCCAACCGACCTCAACGTCCATGGCATCGTGCTGGTTGCGCTTCGTCATTTCCGGCATGATGTCATCCAAAATTTTCAATTCGCGTCGTGTGAAAATTAAATCCAGCGACTTGCGAATGCCGATCATCACAACCAACATCAGCGGGAATAGAATCGATGTGCTGCTGAATGACTTGATTACCCAAAGACAAGCAAGACATGTCAGTTGGATAATCGTGAAAAGATGAACCCTTTTAATTGGAACCTAAAAAACAACCGTGCTAAGTATAGGAATGACAGTATTAAGTTGTGGTGGTGAATTACTTGTCTGAGGAACATATAATCCGGTTGATACTTGTTAGGCATAAACATGATCAAAATACGATCAAAGAATTGCAATCCTTTGAGCGACGCGACGCCCATGTAAAGGAATACCCCAAAGAGTACCGGCATTGGAATGTGTCCGAGCATAGGCGTCAAGAAAACGCTCAAACCAATAGTGAGGAAAATCATAATGTGCGTAACACGCTGTTCACGAACTCCCAGAAATTGTGGTTTCTCACCAGGTGCAGCACAATTTGACTCTTGCTTGAGCGAATTGACGTGATTGATGGAAAGAACGGTGGCGGCCACGAACCATGGTAAACCCATCACCGAGCAAATAGCTATCAAAATGCACAAGACAAAGAGATCCAAGTGATAACCGCATCCTTTCTTCAATTTGTTTTCTTTGCGGTTTATGATCACACTAGTAATTTGTTGGTCCATGAAGATAAGGATTGTTCCCAAAAGGGCGGGTAGGATTGCCAGCGGGTAGGACCACACTGGATTTATAAATGGACTGATCACCCATCCGCGTGATGGTAGAGTAGGTTTGAATTCATGTGGTACTTCTAGTTTTGGTGTGTCGATGCCCACGAAATAGTCTAGGATGGTCATAGCAAAGATTGCAATGATTACGGCGAAGTCGCTGACAAATTGACGCACCTGAAAGTAAATATAAAGTTTACTCAAGTTATGCTACCGTTTATTATTCGGTTTATTACCTTTGATGGAAAGAATAGTGCATTTTTAAAGTCTTTAAACTGCACAGATATTAAAAATGTGCCCATGAATAGAATGATCGACATTAGGAAAACATTAGGAGCCGCTGCTGGGCTGGGTGGCACGTAAATTCCATGATATTCCTACAATAATAGCATATTAATAACATACACTCACTGAATGACTTCAATTTAACTTACCGAGCATGTGGTGCTGTTGAATTCCATCCAATGATTGTTTATCTCTGGGTATTGATTACGTACACTCTCGTTTAAAAAGCATCCGCTTTCCGTGTTGGCGCCATGAATCGGGAACTTTTTACCAATGACCAGAACATTCTCAACAGCCTATTAACCCAGATAAATACACATTAAGTTAATCAAATTGCAAATACTTCCGCAAGTAATAATTATATACCTTGTAGATGAAAATAAATGCAATTAACGTAGCGAAATTTTCTTCCGTGAATCGAGTGATGTAACACACCAATGCACTTGCGTCAATTGCAACCAATATCAGTAAAATCACGGCGATCCAAATGCCTATCCACATCCGGAACGAGAGGTAATCCCATCCCATAGAAATGCAAAAGTCGTACACAATTGTTTCAAATACCAATACTGGACCGGTGGATCCTAAGATAGTTAACGGTTGGCCAGAGAAAAAGCCGTAGCCAATACCACATACAAAACCGGAAACTAACGATTCCATAGCTGCCATGTTTTTGCCAGTCGCTTCGGACAACAAACCACCGAAGGTGATAATTGGTGATAGGCAGGCGAAATACAAAAATATCCATGATGCAATACATTGCATTGCAAATGCATCCTTGAAATCACTCCAGTAAAACGGTGCTTTGCGTTTGATGTCGTTGAAGAGTCCTCCAAACAAGCGACCCGTGCGCTCCAGACCAGCTTCTTCACGTTCCTTTTGTTCCATTTCGTCTTCATCAATTTCTTCACTGGGTTTTTCTGGAGGTCGTTTTCTAATATCCTAAAAATATTGTTTTGTTAATGGTTTTTAAACAAATTTTTGATGTTACAAAATACCTGCGATGGTATAGTTGCCGGGGGTTCAATGCGAATGGCAGGGTCCCACTCGCCCGGTGGTAAAACCGTGACGGCATCCAGGAATTCGTCGATGCCCGCCAAGAGATGACTACGATTCTTGGCGCGATAGGCTACCTCATGGAATACTTCATCTGACATGAGTGTCGCCATAGCTCTACCAATTTCATGATGTGAAGAATTCCCGTTTGACGGCATGAGCAGTATGAAGATGAATCTCGTTGGGACCGGTACTTCGGTCAGATCACCCATCACATGCGCAGTGTTCAATCGAACGAACGCAGAAATAGTCTTCTCGAGAAAATCCACTTCACCCACAAGGATATTACTTGCTTCGGCATTTGGTGGAATCTTACGCATAAACTGCAAATTGTGCTGTGGAATGTCTCCGTTTGAATTGCCGTTTTCCAAATTGTTCGAGCTGTGATTGCGATTTATTGAGTGAGCACTAGCGCTTTTGGACATTGCCTCCGGTGATGATTTGTCGCTTCCTACACAGATATAATCGCAATTAGATCAGCTCTTGCAGTGAAAGGAGAGCAAAAACAGTGATACGCATGCAGTTGGTTGTAGACTTTACAAAATACGACAACGAGCGCGAGTCACATGCAGCTACAAGTAGATACAATGTTGGGCAACATGCACGAACTGAAATCAAGTAAATTACGTTGAGATCAATGTGAGCTGAATGAAGTCGCTGGCGAACTGTTATGAAATCAACGATTACAATTAATACGATGGAAGCAATAAAAAGGGACATTTTAATCAAGAGAGCCATTCAGGTGTGAAGTGAACACAATCATCGATTTCTCATGAATCCGCTGTTCGCGGTTTTACTGCTCTACATTCACGATGTTCATCATGCTAGCAAATTTAATCAAAACATATATAACTACAAAAGTAAACTAGGGCTAGGGAAATGTAATCCTATAAACAACAAATATTCAAGATAAAGTTACCCTGTCCAGGAATTGAGAGAAATTTGCCAAACTCAACTTGACCAGACTTTCCCATGTTTTCCATATCTTGCGCATCAACTACAACATTTATTAATTACTTTTCTTGCATAGAATATTAAATCAAACGGAAAAAAGCTACAGAATCGCCAAGTAATTATTCATAGAAGTCAATATTTGCTTTAAAAAAATATAGAATTTTCCTATTTCAGAAAATGGAAATGTCTACTTTATTCCAACTGATATAAGTCATGAATATTAAAGAGAGTGAATAATCTCGCCATCTAAAGAAGTACCATGTGGAAAAATGAGCAAAAGGTCAAGTATAACCAAGACGGAACTCCAAAGAACAAATTTAAAATTTGCATATGCCAAAGACTGCGTTAACATCGTATAAATATATACGCGAAGAAGTAAAAATAGAAAGTGGTACAAAGAAAACACTAGATTATGAATATGCATGTCGGTAGTAAACTTTACGTCGCCGATTTCCATATTTGTCATTTTCAAGAGAAGTAGATATGAAGTTTGATAGCAACACCAAAATTTGACAGGCAGACGAATAATTCTACCTTTCGTTTGATGCCACAATGCAAGCCACGTGGTTGTGTCGTCTGTTTCTGCGCTAAATATCGCTGTAAACGAATCACAATGTAATGTAATGATTACATTTGAATATCAAGACAGGTCTAATGGTAATTTGACATCGAAGGCACTAAAGCACGTCACAATTAATCCAATATCAATTCCCACAACCTAATATCCCAATAGGAAAACCAACACCGTATAACATCGATAACACCGTGGAGGAGAAGGTGCAACAGTTGGTATATCAGCACATAATTACTTTATAGTTTACACTGCTTGTCAAACAATGAGCTACAAATAGCCGCAACTCCATACGCTACAAGTTCCCACTTATCCTTCTTAATTTACCCCACAATCAGCGCTTTTACTTGAACAACGCACAGCATGATGATCAAAGTTTCGTCAAACTTCCCTAAACATCCTCGAGTGTGTTGTGTTTATTGTATGTTTAGTTGCATGCGGTGATAGATTATTGAAACAAAATAAAAAAAATCTTATTTTGTTTCCATTATCTTCGTGTTTAATTTGTTGTTGAATGTGTTTTGTTTGTGTGTTTTATGAGAATTTAATTTGAGTTTGTAATGAGTAACGTTGAACATAACATAAAGCTGCCGTTTGACCCTTATGCCTGTGTTTAGTGTAAACAACCTGGAATCGAAACGTATGAACCGTTTCGTTTCTGTGTGCTTGCGTCATCCTCAATGATGCGCACCCGTTTGCCCTGCGCGTGTCCTGTTCGACGATGGTGTGCGCCCTCCGTATGTGGAGTACTAACGCATGGTAATATACTATAGCATCCCTCTGATGGTGGAAATGTGGAAAAACAAAAAGAAATTCAGTGTATGTACAATCAAAAAGTGTAAAAGTGCAAATAATTAGTCGTTATTGCTAGTTATTTATAACCTCAAGATTGAAATTAAATTTAATCGTGTTACTATATTAAATAAAGTTAAAAAGCAGTATTTGTTCATACAATAGTCATTGAATTGTTAATTTAATTGATTTGTAGAAGTCATATTGCAATAATGTGCAGTGTGCAGTGCAATTGAATCGAAATTATCACGGTTGCCAACACAAACCGTCTACTTCTATTTCCAGACTATTGTGTGCAGACGATTAGTAGAAACATGATATCATATTTTACAAAGTAAATAAATATTTAATCAGTAATTGTTTGTTGGTACTCAATACCTATATACGTCAGTTATTAAATATTATCACTTATCAACAAATTCGTTGAAATGCTCCTGTTAATAAAAATTACTATACTGTTTCAATATAAAAATTAATAACTTACTTTTTGACGATGAATGATTCCGTCCAATTTCAGCAAAGCTCCGAATTGTTGGCAACAAATGCTTCTTTCTTTGATGTTGATGCCTGTGGCGTTTTAATAGTATATCCTTCACGAGTTCCATTTTGTTTATCGGAAGCGCGTTGGCGTTCGTCATGTTCTCTATGACCAACTCAGCCACTTGCTCTACGGAATTAGCCTCCATGTCCAGTAGCACAGTACCGTTCAACAACAAGCTGCGCAATTCAAACAAGGAATGCAGTGACAAGGTGGCCACGTGGGGTTTGGACCACCGATTGCCACCCTCTTCAACATCCTCCTCGAATTTGATCCAACGCGCAGTTTCTTTCCATTCCAACTCGTCGCCATCTTGCACCAGTTCTTCCATTTCGGAAAATAATGGATGACTTTCGGTTCCATCGTCGATCTCTTCGCCGAGGATAAATTGGACGCGTTGTGCAGGTGGCGTACCTTGAATAATTAACACGTTCATTTGCTTACAGCTTGCCATCAAGAGGATTAATAATAATAGAGGGAAGTTTATAACTTCCAAAACTAACAAAACAAAGTAGGTAACTTAGTCGTTAGCATTTATGAAGTATAGAAAGAGAATATATTATGCAAACCAAATAATTATACGTGCATTTTTTTTCATCTTTTGAACATTAATGGTATATATTCACATGTTGGCATTGTTTGTGAGACGTAGAATAATATAATATGAACGCATTTCGTGCGTGCGCATCGTTCGCATTTCACTTGTTGGGCATTATGAAATTCTCAAGTGTATGTTGCACGCAGAATACCAATTTGCGGCGGTTTTTATTCGCCATGCCAAGGCTCGGCGTTATAATCCACAAAAGGATGCGGCATGCGTGCGATCGATAGGAAAAAGTGTAACATTCAAAAATGAGATAAAACAACACACCGGAAGGAATGGCTAACGACTAAACAACAAGTGATAACTAATACTAGTGTGGGTGTGGGTTCACATGCGCATATTATTTACAATGTGGTGCGTCTTACATATTTCGCCTTCCTCGGAAATACTCATGCGGCCTCTGCGCGTTACAAGCAATCCTGGAACGTAGACACAAAGGAGGATGTCATAAGAGGATTAACGGCGACAGGTGTGCGCACTCGCCATGATCGTGAGGCGGAAAATAGGACCAAATAGTGTGTGTGTACGTGGATGTGTGCGTGGATGGCTCGTGTTTAAGTGCAACTCAAATATGTTCAACTCATCTTTCCCAGAATTAGGACCTTTGCAAGGTCATAACTGTTTGTTGCACAATTTGATCAAAAATGGCAACCATCACTTCATAAAAGTTCAATATTTTGATATAATCGGAGTCCTGCACTGTTTCATTTTGAAATGGATCATTTTGTGCTAAATTTAGAACCGTGGTGGGCATAGCATTGACCGAGAGCAATCTGTTATTTTTTGGTTTTCGCCCAGCTACCCGATTTACGCTCCTCATTCGCGCCACGCGTTGTGGGTAGACCACTCTGGCCATATTTAGATTGGTTACCCTCTACGCGAGCGCTCGGTATTATAAAATAGACACGAAATCGATAGACTACAAGCATTCGGCCAGTGCTGATCTCGTCGCGCCCTGTTACAGTCGATGTCACACATAGGAGCGTGTAAATTACCTATGCATGCATGAACGTACTTGCCACATGATTTTCCTGCCATGTGATCCAGATTTACAATCAACCACATAAAATTCTACAATTTTTGTATATGGATTAGATTTTAATACAGTGAATATAAATAATTTACTGTGGCGAATATAGAAATCGTGCTGTTGTTAGAGAATTTAAATTGAAACGTCGTGAAATTAAGTTATGACATTTTTTGTATTTGTTTGACCTTAATAAATAAGAATGGCTGGGTCGATATCAACTCGTACGATTTGGATAGTTCCCACGAGAATCTAATCACACTCTGGAGATTTGAGACATTTAGAAAAATCTTCCAGAATCGAAAATAAGCCGAGCAGATTTATTTTTATACGAAAATCCGATTGTAATTTGGAATCACTCTCTAAATCTGCAAAGAATCAAGTATAAAAAATGCTCAATTTAGATTTAATACAATTTGTAGTTTTTTCAACTTGAGCAACTTTTGTTTTTATTTTGATTGCAGCTTGGGATTCGTTTAGATTGGTTCTGAATTAGTTCCTTTTGTTTTTGCTTGTACGGACGCGGTAAGAATGAAAATGAAAGTGTGCAAAAGAAACTTACTTGGTCGCTCATCATCCACCGCATTCAACTCGGATGATTTGCTATGGTGATGCTTGTGTCTTCGATGAGAGTGACGTCTTTCAGCCGGAATGTGAACGCCAACGAAGACTGAATGTGCGCGGTGACCTAAACAATAAAATATTTGTAACAGAAAACCATTTATCTATAAATAATGTATTTGTATTTTATATATGTTTATATTTTTTCTATTAAATACAGTGTAATGATATTCTGAGTAAAAAAATATAAAGTATTATTGCACGGCGATATTCAGTAATCACGCAATGCGAAAGAAGGTTGGGTTTCATTACTAATCACCATTCAGTAGCCCATTGTTTATTCCTGCGTGTATGATTACAAACATTTTAATGCAATTAATTTCTTTCTGCTAAAGGCAATTCGATATTATTTTAACAATAAAACCAAATAATGGTTATACAGAGTATAAGTGGTTAAAAGGATACGTATCAAATGTTATTTTAAACATAAGTTCATTTTCCCTGTAATGACTCACAGGTTCTCAGATTAAATAAGAAATTTAATTTGCTTCGCTTTGATGCGTTATCAAAATGTGCTTGGATTCGCTTGAATTCGTAAAGCGGTAACAAAATCAAAGAGAACATTTATTACCAACTCTCGACAGAGCAAGTCGGATCGATATCATGTTGAATTTTCCTCTGCAGTTTCAAGTATTCAATTCAAATAGAGAATACAGAAAAGATAAATTTGAACTCTCCTTCCTTAGCTGTTTAGCAAGTTCAGATGGCAAGCGCACATTCTGTTTGATTTATCATCTACTGACCCAGGTTGATCTTTGATTCCGAAAAAGTTACCTTCGTAATCCTTCTCGTCGTAGGATCCAACTTTCTGAGCTCCTGGATCCTTCGGCGCTACGTCGTCGTGCGTGTCCTGCGGTTCCATGTTGATTGCTCAGTATCACAGTCTAGGACCAATCTGAATCTGGTTACGTATCTGCAACCAAAAAGAGATTCAAATCAATTTGCGAAATTGCGACGGAGAAAAAATCTTCCAGACACGGAGTTACACGTGGGGCATATTTAGCTATAACAGTATGCACACCATAGCCATAAAAACAACTTCTTGCCGTTCAATTCACTGTTATGCAATTCAAATTGACGTAATAGAATAGCAATGATACCCGTGGCGTCCATAGACATGAAATGGAAAATTGTTTTTCAGCGTGGGACTATGATCGTGAAAATCATCACGTATATTTTTTTATATAAATGGATTATTCGGTTTCTAGGTATCGATTCACGTTTTGATTATGTAAATGTATTCATTACTGTTGACGAAAATGGCGATTGCTTAAACACGTCAGAATTATTATACAACAATAGCTATATGAATTCATCATTAGTGGCAAATAATGAAATAATCAGATAATACATTTATCAACTTGTGGAATCCCAGTAAACAGATATTGTGATTAATTGGGAAGCGTTTAAAATTGGAAGTAAAGAGGATGTGACGTAAAAATGTGTCATTGAGACTTTGCATTGAATCGCATCGAATGGTGAATGGGATGATGATGAGTATCGATTAAAGAGCGCAGTAAAGATGCAAATCAAATCGTTTTCCACGTGCGCGAAAAACAGTAAAGATTTATCTCGAATTCATTATTTCGCTTTCCACCGAGCAATTTATTGCTACTGGCATTAATTACTCACGTTAATGAATCCTATTAAACCAATTTTTGTTGGCACGTGTATAGATGATCAAATTGTTAAATTAATTCCCTTTTGCTTTTATTTTGTTATCAATTGGATAAACATTTAAATTGTTTATATTTTAACTACTATTATGAATTTATTTATAATATTTTTGCATAGATAAATTTAAACAAAAATACAAATAGAAACAACCAAAAAATTCCATCGGATTACATACTGAATATTAAAAAAGCAATTAAAACTGGCATTACAATAAAAATCGAATACATGGAATTTTTGTGACTAATTTGTTTCATCTTATCACAAGTATTTCAACCGTAGGTAACTTGACGTAATATTGGAAGATTATGATACATTTTATTAATATACAGCGCCAATTATGCTGTAGAATTTTTAAAGATTACGTCATAAATATCGTGAGAATCAATTTGTATTATCAAAAAATCATAATCTAATCTCTGCAGTATAAGTTAAGCCCAAAAACAAACAAATGAAGCCGACTTTGAACTTATAAATCCAAATTTAAATTTCGTATCTACCTATCATTAGTATTACTGGAAAACAGGAAACTTCCATGACCAATTTACCAAACTGTTTGTTTTGAGTTAAGAATTGAACGATTGTAGACACTTACAGCCTCATTTAGCCAAATTAACTTAATTTGCCTTCGTTATCCTTTGCATTGTGAAACTAATTTACTCAAACATTTCGAACAAAATTTGCGCGTTCCAGTGAATCATACACAGACAATAATCGACAGATAAGAGCAGTTTAACGTCTGCTAAGTCCATTCATAAAACTAGCAAATTACATGTGTACACAATTTTAATCGGCGCACTTATTCGATAAGCGCTTACTTACATTTTGCAACATTTAATTTGCCATGTCGGTATAACGTCGCTATGCGCTCGGTGTTGGCGAGGTTGGCGATCGTTAATCAAATTTACGCGAGCCGGAATTGATTGCTTAACAGATAAGAAGAAAGCGTGTGTTGTGTTGACTTAGTACTTTTGTCGTTACTGCAATTACACGTTTACACACTCATTATTCACATTTAACATTCCCTCTGCAATTACATTTTTTCCTCTCTGAGAATGCCTTAAGTGGCGCATTTAAAGTTAAATGTAGAAATGTTTGAGTTAAATAAAGTTTTCTTCTTCCGAGTGGGCGTAATTATTGTGTATGTAATAGTTGTAATTGAAATAATTGTAAATATGAAGCAGCGACGGAAGTAATTCGTTAAAATAAAAATTACCCGCCCAGCTTGTCAATTCGTCGCGGTTTCATGCAAGTTTATGTCGATTCCACGCACATGCAAGTGGTGCGCCATCACAAATTTACCTCCTAATGAATTGGTTAATTAGATTTGTACATTGTGCATTACCGTAGGAGAGTTATGTGGCTGTAACACAGGAATTCCTGCGTTTAAACGAATTGCAGCCATTTTTCGCGACTGCGCTGGCACTGCGCCTGGCACCGCGCACACGGGATGAGAGAGTCATCAGTCTCTATTTAAATTTCGTTCGATGAATGTTAATGAACCAGGAATGGAGGCGGACGTTGCCTGTTGCTGCTTGAAAATTCTATAAGGCCAAGGTTATGATTAATGCAATTTGTTCGATGCGAATCAATTTAGCATTGACTTTATTGCTCATGAGCAATATTTAAGGTGCTTATTATTTAACTTCCTTTGTTTTGGGCTTGTTTTGACTAACGAAAAAATGCAGTGTAATTGTATATATTTTCGCCGCATCGAAAGTTGTCGAACGAACGAAATTTAAATCGCTTTCACTCGCTGCATTCGTGTTTAAGTCTAAATATGTCAAAAGCGTGTTAAAGTATTCAAACAAATATTAAAATTTATGGGAAATTTGCAGTTTTAATCTAGTTAATACACATTTAGAAGTTGTTAGTTTGAATCATTTAAACCCAATACGTGTTTCTGAACATTATGTCGAATTAAACTTGAAACTTTTGATAGTGAAAGGTACATTATTAAATATTTACGTAATTTTATTAAAAATTCAATACTGAAAACATTTCCGAGGAAATTATTCATATGAATTGATTGGGTTTCGAGTCAATAATTAATTAATAATTATCAAAGTTGAAACATATTTGCGGCACAATAACTGAGAATGTTGATATGTATTTCTATTGTAAGATAAATAATGAATTATGTGAAAAAAATGTATAGTATTAGAATTACTTTGTCATAATTTAATTCTACATTCTCCTGAACTCTTTAAATATTATTTACCACATTGATAAACAAAAAGTTGTATGTAAGTATTTAATTCTTTTTTTAACATGAATATAAGTGTGTACAATTAAATTCATAATTAATATCTCAGAAAATTGATTGCTTTTAGAAATTAAAAAGGTTAATATATTTTCAGATCTTCTAAAATTTCTATATCTGAAAAACAATAGAATTAACTATTACCTAAGGTAAAAACAGGTGCAGTCTGTAATCACATGCATAGGTATAATTTAAATAATTCGATGCTATGGAACATACCAGCACAATACGCACAACGTGTAACATTGTAACTTTAGTACTATCAATGATTATGAATTGCATCGCAATGATAAGAATAGCAATTAGAAACTCAATTGTTTAATCGAGGAAAAAATCAGTTTGCACAGCGTTTTACAAACAAAGCAATTATGAACGCATGCGAAGCAGGACTCTAGACTAAACAATAAAATCTAAAATTGTTTGTTGTCAGTTTGCTGCTTGAAACGACAAATTGAATTTTTATTAGTTTGGAAAGTAGAGTTAAAAACAAGTCAACTTACCAAATGCAATAAATGCCAGTTACAAGACAGTGCAATATGTAGACGTCCATACGATCACTAAATCACTCTTTCACTTTCAAACACAGTTTAAAGTTCTCTCGAAGAATCACTGATCCAACACAAGTTATTTCTGTATTGTATTCTTTGTTACTATCTCCCTTGGACGCGTTACGCGCCGCTTGTTAAGATCACTTGAACTTGAATCAGTGATCGCGATGCATTTCTAGAAAGCGGCGGTGTCGCGTCTATTGTGCGTGCACAATGAATGCGGAGAACGCACGGTTGTTTATTGTTCGCGCCGTTGATTACACGATTAAACGAGTGCGAACGGTGATGCGCGTCGTGATCGCCGGCGTCGTGCCAACCGACTGACAACGCGATCGGTTCCAGCTCGAACCGTAGGCGCTTCTACTACCAAGAACGGAAGCCGACAAGTGAACCACACCGCAGGATTGCGGATTCTGGATGCCGGGCGTTATCCTTGCGCGGCACGCAGCGCAGCGCGCATAGCGATAGCAGCCTACCGTTAGCGGTGCTGAGGATTAAAGGATTTCATTCATCGTGGCGGGATCTTCAGATGTTGGCGTCGTGTTTATTTTGTGAAATAATACGATTACCCAGGGATTAATTATGTGTCCTCATGTGAGCTTGCGAATCAATTTTAACCAAATTCTAGCGAGTATTATTCAGCTATAGATAGATGTTACGTTTCATTCCAGTTTAAGCTGAAATTAAACAAAAAAGTAACAAAATTGTTTTCTTGGAAATTAGTGATTATTCATACAAAACGTTTATCGATGTTGTGTTTTTATTACCAAAACAATACATGTTATATTGTTAGCTTTTTGTAAATGTTTCAACAAACATGAATTTTATACACGTTTGTCTACTTTGAATATATTTGAAAAAAAAAAGTTTTATCGAAATCTGCATATTCTTTTTATTCAAATCCGACAATTTTAAATCTTATTTTTCTTGTAAAAGCTTTTGTTTGTAAATATTATTTAATAATTATGTTAATTTGGTTGCCTAATGCGTCCAATAAAAAAACAGGGACCAAAAATTAGTGCGTGTAGCACAGATTAAAGTAACTCATCGTTTTGCAAAATTTGTTTAAGTTAAGCGTGCAATTTTATGTCCTTGACATACAAAATTTTTATTGATACTGAGAGTATACGACGCACTCAATTTTTGACTTTTATCTAAACTTATTCCAGGTTCAAACTGGAAATGCGGAACTAACTGGAATATTTCAATAACATTAAATATTTGTAAATATTTATTAGTACTCGCAAAATTTGTTTTTAAAGAAGATTGAAAATTTTCCTGAATTTGTAATGAATTGGTATGTATATTTATCGATTCATATTTTAATATTTGAATAAACATTATTAACAAAGTTGTTTATCAACTTCAATAACTTATTGAAATGTTCATTTAATTTAAAAGGTATAACGCTAATTAATTACCACTGGATAGCCGTGAAATCAAGCAGTGTATCATAGTTAATATAATTGCATAAATTCAATAATCATGATATTGCGGCACGTTACATTTTACAAATTACTACCTTCCCAAATTTCAAATGTTTAATACCTTTCACTCATGTTCAAGCCATGCCTGAGCGGATTTATAAAAATCAGAGATTTGTCACCACTACACCAATTTATACAAAATGTTTAAATGTTAATTATAACTACACGAATAATCTAACATTTCTAACAATGTAACGGTCAAATATTATAAATGCAAAGTTTGGTTAAGTATTTGTTGCTCATTTGCGCCCAAATTACAGAATCAAAGATAATGAATTGCCATCTCCGCTAAAATGGATAATTAAAATTTTTCATATTTTTAAATTTAAATTGATAATCTTGACAATTTGCAAAATCGCGAGCAAAAGTTTGTATTAAATATTAAATTAAACACATTTCCGACTTTATATATGTTCTGTTCTCATGCTCATTTTGTTGTATGATTAGATATTAGTAAATTATTCTAATGAGTGCGTTGGCGAATTTACCGTTTTACATTTTCATACCAGTAAACTTCATGACAATCATTTTGCTCAAAATTGCAATATAATTGTAAATACGCTTTGCTATCTATTTATATATACAAGGTAAGGTGATTCAATATTTGTTAAAAATTAATTATGAATTCATTTGTATTACTTGATTATTTTTTTATATTTATCTTATGAGTTATGTGACCATGTAAGTATAGACTTGAGATAACAATATTAGTAGCGTACGTTTTGACATTCATGATAGCAACGTAAACAAGTGTTTATTGCCGGGATTCGGAAATGACTAGATTGTACCGAACTTGTGTGGTTTACTCAGCAAAGTGATCAACTTTTTAATGTGTATTGATTATACGGGGATAAACACACGAAATGATAAATGTTTATCATGATTCATGACATTGTGTCACCAATAATATTGAACGCATTAAAAATTAACGATCGTAAGTTATAAAAGTGCATCAGTAAATTATTCATCATTATGAAGTTAACGCTTTGCCGGTAAAACATTATTGATGCATTTTACCGTTTCCAGTGAGAGTATCAAGTAACTAAATGAGATCGATGATTATCTATGGCGACATGTGTTGCACTGAGATCGTGTCACCAAGATTCGAATGTCACTGTCAGCAGGAAGCTTGCAAACGCACAAAATTAAAATACACTCCGACTGCAACAAACCGTTGGTTGCTGTGACGAACATTGAACGCGGACCACGCACCAGATAAATTTATCCACTGCGTGAAGATATCCGCCTCACCGCCTCACATTTCGTCCAAATCCAGCTATTAATAAATTCTTGGCTCAATTACAACGACAAAAACAACAACAAAAATATCTATGCACTTTCCAAATTATTTTGCGACTAAATACACGCACAAAGACACAAAAACAATGTTTATTTGATTAATTTAAGCTGCAGTCAATTGAAAGTTAAAGTAAACTATAACAGGTGGTAAGATTTATCAATTTAGCCTTATTAAAGCGATCAAACGCATATAATTTTATTACAATCGTAAATACTCAGCGTTAACTGCAGTTGTGCTGTTTGAATATGTATGTGTTGGCAGACAGACGAGATACAGAAGATTGATGACTGATTATGGAATGCCGATTGATTTAGCGAGATAATGTAAACGTCCGTTAAAGTGGCGTGCAAAAGAGGTCGTCGTGTCAATACGCAGATCGAGGACGCGGTGCAAAGTGCCACTTAAATATTTTTGCTCATTTTCAGACGACACCGGCATTAATTTCTTTAGTTGCTATTAAGATATAATAATTAACAAACAAGTAAGGTGTAATAAATATGTAACTTTAATATTTGACACGGTGATTTGTCCAAGTTTGCGAAATAAAATAGAAATTACTCTATTAATACCAAATATTATATCAGTTATTAAATATGACAAAAGTAAATTTAGCGACAAACATAGGTAGGTATAAGTTTAACGAATGTGTAGGAAATCAAAAAAATGTAATTTACTTATCACAGAAAAAATCTACCCGAAAGTACTTTTGACGTGATAACGTCTTTAAAATCGTTTTAGTCGGGTGACATGTTCAGAAACTTGTCACGAGGCCTCTCGAGGTCGATCGCTATAACGAGAGAGAGACGGACCGATCTCCCGTCTCATCTCGAGCGCTGCCAGTCATTCCGTGAAACTTGTCACGCGGAATCCACACGAGCGGAGGCAGGCATAGCGTTCGAGTGAGTGGACCGATCTTCCGTCTCTCTCACTCTAGCGGCATACAAACGAATGGAGATTTTCTCGTGCGGTTAAGTTTTCGTTGAATGTTTAACAGTGACACAAAATGTGAAGTGCAAGTGAAGTGTTACAACAATTGCAACAAAAAAAACTTATATCACCAATAAGACGTTATCACGTAAACATCTCGATCGTAAACCTACTTTACAAACAACCATTTTTTTTTATTACATTTTTATTTAAAAAAAAGCTCCTCTATTTGAAAAGTTTCAATGAGTAACAAAAGCGTCCCAAAAAGGACTAAGGGTGTAATTGCATTTTTCAATTTGCTTTGAGTTTACTTTGAGCATCAAATTCTGCTCAGCGTGGGGTAGGTTCTCTTTAATCAGATTTTATTATTACAGACCTACATAAATCACAATTAAAATTAAATTACGTCAATTTTTTTTGTTGGAAATATACACACAAACCAATGAAATTTGCATTAAAAGTTTGTCCCTGCTTACTTTCAATTTTAATTACTTAAAAACATTTTGTGCTTATGAAGAAACCTACCTGAAGAGTTCAAGAAGCACCGGAAACTTTAATTGCTTAAGTTGTTCTGCCTCGTCCTCGAAGCAACAATCCCTCGCTGGTACTTGTTATTCTTCGTCACGCTCCATCAAAAAACACCCGAAGTATAACACTGGCATTTACCAATTAGCGCGTTAAAACTGCACGTAATTAAGTTGTGTCCTCTTGAGTCGCAGGAGTTTGATCTTGTTGATGCACACAAGAAACAGTTTGCAAGCAACACGCGTCGATAGCATTATATAGCGGTAAGAATGCGTAAAATAAAATTGTGGGAATTAGGCTCCCTATTCGCCGGCGGATGTGGACTTGATCAATGAAACCTTTCACAAAACAGCAGTTTCTCGTCGATTATCGCACAGAATGTCACTAAATTTGTGTAAATATTAAAATATCTTAGGTAAACACGGCGTTGCGCAGCGTCGCTGGGAAAATCTCAATGGCCCGCGGAAGGGCTTCGCGTACGCGTCGCGCGGGGCAGGATTTTACTACGGCAGCAGTTTTCCTAACCGAAATAGCAGGCAGCGCCGGCAACGGTAGCTACACGCTTGCGCCATATATTGATCTCTGCACCTTTTATTATATCTTTGCGGCAAATGTTAACTGAATGCGAAGTGAAATGAAATTCAACTGTTTGTACAGAATATTTGATTTTCATCATTTGTATTACACAGCACTTTAAATTATTTTATAACTTTTAGAACATATAATTATTAGAGAATTAGACTATATCATCTTAATTTGATAATATTTTTTATAAAATTCGAAAAGTGACAATACATCGTATTTGCTATTAGAACACTACAATCATAAATAAAATTTAAAATGTACTATTCAATTTTTAAACGGTATGGGAAATCAATAAATGCAGAATCATTGAAGTTAATTTTATATTGCATCAACAAATATAAATGCAACAATTTTTTTTGTGTATCTGTACTCAATATCTAAAATAAATTTATTAGTTCCGTCGAATATTTTGAACTATTGAAAAGAAGGTCTATTTTTGTAGTAATGTCACACAGCGAAGATGCAACACGCCATCTGTCTATACATACTCGTAGGCAGTTTAGAAGAATACTGTCGTCACCGTGTTATAAAAACAACATAAAATTTTGTAATTTCATTCAAATTTACACAAAAAACAATGGGTTTTCATTTTCCAGTTCGTAACAATTTAATTTTTTTTGACAACACTTAAGAAAATATAAAATAAAATGAAATATTTTATATTTATAATAACTTGCATAACGAAGTGAATACAACCTCGATTTTGGAATAATAAAATATGAAATCATACTTTTTATGACAAGCTAATATACTTCAATGGCTGAGTTTATATTACCTTCTTAGCAGTATTCCTAGCTTTGTATTACATGTTCAAATAAGTACATATCTACCTTTCTGTTATATTTTTACAAGTTTTTTTTTATTCTGGCGGCATTTGAAAAAAGTAAAAGATAATTTTATCTCATTATTGATAGGTATAATACAACTTGGATTTTTAATGAATAATTATATTTTAATGGTTTTTTAATCGATAATATTTAATCTACATTTTGATAACATTCATGTTACTTATTGATTTTTGTAATAAAAATGTTGTTTAATGAGACCTTCGATTATAATCTGGGCAGATAAATAATGACTATTTACAGCTGGCTATTTTAGTAGATATTGGTGCAATAGCAAAACTTTCCTCATGAAATTGAGTAGGTACCTCGTAAACGTGACCGATGAGCACCGTTGAGATGGAATGCCGATTTTATCATTATTTCCTACTTAATGATAATTTAGTTATTGACGGAATGACTATTTTTGTGCGTGGAGGTATATTATGTAGTTTATTCAACGTGATTAAAGTAGAAAACCTATAAAATAAAGATAACAATCAAACTATAGAAATATTTTGTTCTGTATACAACTAATACATTACTTACTAATATATAAATTAGTAAAAAACATCATTTTTAAATTTTACTGATAATTCTGAAAAGAAAAATTATTACATTCTGGTTGATGAATACGTAATTTCATTTTCTAAAAAAAATGTTTAGAATTTTGTAGCATTTATTCAAAGTTTGAATTGTTTTAATTTGAAAAGCGTTATTTTTATTTGTTCTTTTATTTTAAACTACCTATTGCCCGCGACTTCGTTCCGATAGTGGTTAATAAAAATGTAATTCGTTTTTTTTTCTCTCTTGTTCCAGACATGTCAATTCTATCAATAAGATTCGCAAACTCTGTAGCTGACAAGCTTAACATAATAAAATAATTTAAATTGTACCATTATTCTATGATTAACCGAGAAATTTAATTGCTCTTAATCAACTCGAAACCTTTTCTTTTTTCAGTCCATTTTAATACACCGGAAAACTTTTCTACTTCAGAATAAAAGTGTACTAAAAGTTTTTACTCTGGTTTTTATTTTTTTTTTTTAATATTAAAAAGCAATACTATTGCCTTTAATTGCTCATCGAAAAGCACTTCCAGTATTTTAATCTTAAAAAATTATCTAGATTTGCAAATTACCATGCATATCCCAAAAATACACTGATATAACTTTAAAATGTTAAACTTTCCGTTTAACAAATCCAACAGGTGTTATATACAATCTAACTAAATATATTTGTTATCTGCCTTACGTGATATAATTTTATTTACCAAGTTCAGCGATCCGATATTAAAATAACAGAAGACTGCGTGTAATGATAAACGTGATTGGTATGATGACATTGATGTATCGCACATGAAACATGAAAACCGCCCTAAAATTGCCACTCTCAATAATAGGAAGTTTTATTTCCACGAAATAATTCATGTAGTTGTAATCGTGAAAACTAAGAAAGTTTCAATACTTTCCTTGCTTTCCTAGCTTCATTTATTCCAATATTTACCCTATTTACTTAATATTTATCCTATTTACCCAATATTTACCTACTCATAATTGAATAATATATTAAGTATCAAGTAGCTAAACGGGAGTTTTTCCTCAAAGGCAAAACGTAGTAAGCTGTGTGTGCCTTATCTCTATCAAACAAGATTCTAAAGATTCTTAAATTTCTAGAGAAACGTTCCCTGGAAAGCAATAAATATCTAAAATATTAAACTGATTAAAAGTGAATTTTGAAGCATTGCAAACCCACTAGAAGTAACTTTTTTCGCTTACATTGTTTCATCAAATTTTATTGTTTAGTTCTAGTTGGTTTCGGTGATTAACATATTTCCGTTTCTGTCGTCAAACATTCTTCAAAGAAACGCAAATATGGATAATTTATCACAAAAACTTTTGCTATTAAACGTTGTTCATGTAGTAATCATACTTTATAATTTGATATTTATAAAGCCATAAATATAGAATTTAAATCTTTTTTAACCGAAATCTTAAGAAAACTCTGTTTTGTGCAAATTATCTTAGTTAATTTTTACAGCAGTTGACTTTTCTGCTTAGTAGGTTAAATATTTAAAATTTTAACATTTTATATGAGACTTTTTATTGCCGGATCTTTCTTAAAACTTGATATTAAATTGATTCTATTAGTTAGAGGTAAACATTTCCCTTTATGTATCATAGTTGTTTGATAACTTCGATTAGTACTTCAAATGTTAACAAATTATTATAGTTTTCATTAGAATTTTTGGGATGTGTTCAAACATATTACAGGAAACTTCTCAAAACGAGCGTTCACCGGTAATTGTTCTGTTCTGTTTATCTGATAGGTGGCAGCCTAAGCACAGCAACAAAAAGCTGCAGTGATGTAATTTTAGTTGCCTACCATGAATTCCCGTCCTAAACAAAAATAATATCAATGTAAATTCTTCTTTAATTCTATCTAATTCTATCAGAGATAGTTTATAACAAGTAAAACAAATATTAGTAGAATAATTCATATTGCAAAAAAAACTGAGTATTAAGAAAGTTATGTATGTGTGAACCGCATAAAATCTGTTCCAAACCTAAGTTTCTATAAGTAAATAGGGAAATATGTATCTTCTAAAAGTCATTAATTTTATTGTTGCAAGATTATATATCATTTGCATATAAAATGTGTCTCATTAATTTTGCACAACTCACAGCCTAATATCAATTCATTATTCCACTTGCAATTGCATCGACCGTTGACGATTACATTCTTTTCGAGTGATCCTCGTCCGCAACATAGCGTTGCACAATGGCTATGATCTTTACAACGACGTCCACGTGTCATATTGCAAAAGTTTGGACTTTGTTCTAAATAAACCAAGTTTTTCACCATCTCGTTCTTTTTATCCTTCCATTCTGGTTTATAAAAGTGTGCTGAACTGTATTTTGCTTTTAGACTCAGCGCAATTGTTGTAAAATTGCGATTTATTATTTTCCAACATGTCTTCAAAGTACAAGAAGCTGTAAATTTACAAATAACAATTAAACTTAAACGAACTAATTTACATAATACAATATATAAGTACCTGATACCCCGTGACACACGCATACATTTTTCTTGTGTTGTTCAACAGTTTCTAGGCCTACATTGATATTGTTTTTGTAGATATCTTGTTTCTGGTTTTGCTTCAAGCCACTTTCTGCCAACTGGCCACCATTTTCAATTAGGAATCTCCTGGTTATTCTACGGGCAACTTTGGTATTGTCTGCACAGCCAACACCATGCCATTTTGCTGCAAATAATTTAGATGCATCTATTAATAAATAAATATTTGGAAATTACGTACTATTTTCTCGTTTTGGTCGGACCAAGCAATAGCAACTTTGTAATTTTCCATCACTGCAAGCTTTGGCTACTGAAAACATTAACGCGGAAGCGGTGATCGCTTGCATGAATGATGTTTCTCTGTAAACTTTCTTAAACATTGAATTATGCAATTTTGTGCAATCCCATCTATCAAAACTATAAACAGAATTTGTTATACATGTTAATTATTACACTAGTAATTACATCAAATTACCTAAATAAATTTCTACATTGTGTAACTGCTAGTTTTCTCGCATCTTGCAACACTTTGGCAAATCCTCGTCTATCTAAACACTGTTGCATTTGTTTCTTATAACCCTTGAGCCATCTGCAAGCCGCTAAAGTTCCCATATTCGACGGAGGCAAATCCACATTTTTTCTTGTTTTATTGGAGAAAATCAACGCTACCAAACTTTTCAGTTTGCGCTTTGGAACCGAGGCTTCGTTGAGGTTCACACTACAAAGATAATAAAAACCTTTTAGTAGATCTGTTAAAGCGGAAGTGCATTCCTGGATTAATTATTACGAAATGTTACCGTGCATGTTGAAACTGCTGGTAAAGGTGTACTAAGTTCTGTAACGCGCTAATTACTCAAAGTGTTTATGTGTATGCCGACAAACAAACAAGCAGCCAACAACAAAAATGAAATAAAAAGCCACACCATGAAAGAAACTTAAAGCGACATGTGCAAACAGGCAAACAACGTGTTTTTTCTTGCAAGCAGCACCCACAAAAAAGAATTAGACATTAAGAGTCCGAATCATAATTGTTTGTGTTTGTTGATGTTTGTCTCATTGGTTAGCCGGTTCCTAATTTATCGTTCACCTAATGAATGAAACAAACACGCACATACCTGCTGTTCACATATTGGTTCTGATCGGAATTCCTATCGTCCCTTGAATTGGAAACACCGCTTGAACTAGTGGACTGAAGGACACATTGCAGATCGATCGTGAGTACTAACAACAGGATAACGAACGCACCGCGCATAGTGTTTCGATGGCGTGAATATCGCGATGCATTTCTAAAAGTTATATGGACGAGCTGGTCGTACAAACGGCAAGGTACACAACAAGACTCATACGTTAAATAAAGCTTTTTTTAGAAGAAAAATGACGTTGAAGTGATGTCTCGTTGGAATTTTCAAAATGGTTGTGTTGTGGATACGCAAATAAGTGGAAATGACGAAGTTGTTCAATATTGACAAGTTCTCGTCACAAAGGCATGACAATGACGAAAAGGTGTGGTACCGATTTGTGGATTTTGGTGATTGTAGGTAATAAAATACAAAACAAAAACAATAAAAAATAGAAAAACCTCATTCACTTAATATTTTTTCTAGAAATTCCCAAAGTTGAGAAGAAATAGTTACGAATAGGAAAATTTAATGAGTGGTTTCTAAAACGCAAGTATTTTGTGTCTTCCTGTGAGTAATTGTATCTTCCGGCAATTAACACACATAAAAGTGAAGTCGATGAGTGAAACTGATAATAAAATATCCTATGCAGTTACAAATCTAAAAATGTCAAATAATAAAAATGGTTTTGCTAATTTTCAACAAAATAAGAGTTAACGCAAATAATAGAGTATTAACTTCCCTAATTAAATTAAAAATTGATATAGAAGCAGGTAGCCCCTCTATATCTTTCGATAAGATTAATTCAAACTAAATATAGAAAAGATGCACACAGATACCAACAATTTTATGCACTGGAGCAGCAAGTGTAAGAAGCTTATCTATATGTAAAGGACAAAATAGCCCACCCTTAAACGCGGAGCTTAAAATTTGGGGTGGTCTTTTTTATCTTTATTGCTCAACCGTACATGATCCCCTAACAAGATACCTAAGTACTCAAAGCTCAATTTAATTAGTGATAAGACAGTTGTAGTAGCTAAAACTACACGTTATCAGTTAATTGAATTAATAATGAAAAATGTTTTTTGCTATGTTGTTAAGGGCCAATGGAAATACTCGGTTCAAATAAACAAAGAAACAGCACTGATTCGACTGTAGTGTTTAGTTAGGCAAACACATCGTTTTTCCAACTTTCGTGATCATTTCTCATTCTTTTAGACGCGCGAACGTGTGCGTTTCGGATTAGGCGTGTTTGCACTGGCACGCGGACAAGTGGAGGAGCACCGATGTTGATTCAATGTCAACTCTGTAAAAGGAAAACAAATACTCAACCTTTTCGAAACGTCTACAAGTAGGTTTATAAAAATAAAAGATAATAAGTTGTATTGTAAAAAAAATCACACGTGGGTCAAGCACATTTTGCGAAATACCTGCTATGATTTAATGAAGAAGTTAAAAATTACGTAACAGCAATTGCAAATTGCCTTTAAGCGTCAAAACTCTTGCAATTGTGTAAAGATGAAAAGGTGATTTGCGCCCCGGAGGAGACACGCCCGTTGTTACATCTTAAGCACGCTTTTAAGTTTAGTTTAGTGTTTAGTGTTTGAGATTATCGAAGCAAGTGAAAAGGATGTGAGCAAATGTACTAATCTGAAACCATTGAAAACATAATACGTTCTAATAGCGGTAGCGGATAATCGTCTTGTCCTGCTGCTAAGCAGTGTCAACTTAATACCCGGTAGTTCGGCGAAGGAAGGCTTGAAAATTAAATAATCTAGAAAATGTAAAATAGTCCTGATCCAAGGTTGGCTACATTGTAAGTTGTGGTATTTTAAACCACTGAAAAGTAAGTACCAACTCCAATTTAACCACAAATTATTATATGCACACGCAATCGTAATCGTAATATTGATGATCCAATCGCGCGATTGAAACACTGTGAGAAACCGATACGCCGATCATTTAATCACAAATTATGATTAATTAACAGAGGTTGCATTTCGTGCGCTGTCCTGCCGTCATTATTACGTTTTGTTCCGTCGAAGATTTTCGTGCTTCCAGCGTGTGTGGCGCGCTGTTCGATCGCGTCGATAAATTTTCGTTTCCATATAAGCGTGTGAACGAGAGCGCGAGCACCGCGAGCAGTACGCCTAATGGCTCTTTACGATTTCGATTCGAAATTAATACGTCGCTGATGAGAACTGTCGCAGTCGTTGCATTGTTTTGATATGCTCGCATTGTTGGCGCACAATGTGTATCAATGTTTTTGGCGGCCCGCGGCGAGAAGAGGCAGGAGCTAGGCTGTTCGGCCCCCAAAATATTAATCAACGTCACGGGTGCGCAGCATACAGAAAGTTAAAAGTTGAATTATCGTGCGCGAGCACAATTTGTTCGGCAAAAAGCTCATAGAGTTTAATATCGATATATACGGTGTGTTTCAAAAATATAATAATAGGAAAATAATATTTGTAAAAAAAATTAAAATATTGTTTTATTATTTTTAAAACGTTTTGCATAAGAATGCCAATATATATTTTTTAAATTACTTTACACATTTTAAATAGATGGACAAATAATTTTAGGTTTATTGTAAGAGTAAGTAAGTATTTCTTTTGGAAGCGCGTGATGCGCGTGTGGTCTTTGCGCTTCATGTTTTTATACACGTTATATCTGTTTGTCTTTTCTTACCTTCCTCTCGGGCGGCGAATGGGGAACAGTTGCATCTTCCACTTCGGTATTGTACTAAAAAAGACGCTCTCATAGAGATGTGTGTTCTCGTGCCTTTAGGCGCATTGATTTATTGTGCGGTGTGTAGTTCCTGGCTGGCACAATGCACGTGGAAAACACCCCCACGATGAATACCTTGCCGATGAATGAGGAATTCGGCCGCACGCTGCGAATTCGAGTTTTTCCCCGCACAACAATATCCGAATTGTCCTCATTGATGCTTCCAGAGGCAGTTGCTGAATGAGAAATTGAGATGTTTACAACATTCTTACATATTTGATGACAACCACCCTCGGCGAGTCAATTTGTTTTTAAACTAATTTAGTAGAGACAAACAAATTTAAAGTTATTGGTATGTTTCCAATGTCACAACCCGTTGAAACCGCGTTGAGTGCGTTTTTGAAGACTCACCTTCATAATGTGGCGCAGCTGAAACCTGTATGCTGCGGTGATGCCGAAGAAGAGCCAACCCAAGGTATAAGGCAAAACGGATTCCTAATTCGACACGCCGATCTGTGTGGCGACCACAGACTATGAAGACTCTATTATCATTTCATTATTTTTGAGAAAAGATTCTCGATAATTATCGCCACTTTTTTGCTTTTCAGCCTCTCGCCTTGTTCTTTTCTTTGCGGCGATGCTGTGTGTTCCTTCTGCTCATTGTGCGGCCTGGACTAATGTGGTATAATTTTGATTTATTGCAATTTTGCACTTTTCACTTCGCCTCGCAACTAATAATAGTTGATGGCACTTCTTCGTGTGCAACAATTTGCAGGTAACACTTGCGGGCCCGCGCAAAAATGATTAATGATTGTCATTTCATAACGTTAATTTCTTATTGGCACCGCTGCACCAGCAAACATTGTTTTTCGACATTTTGCCAAAAGGATCTGCGCGTTCTTCAGGCATTTATAGAAACCAACAACCGTATAATTGATTTGCGAAACAATGCGGCGTTGTGTTCGCTTATGCAATTTTATTATTCCGACACGAAAAATAATAATAAAAAATCAACGCGCAGCGTATGAAATCGGAGAGCCGGAAAAATGCATGCGTAAAATGCACTCTCGGGTGTTGACACGCTCTCCGCGAGAATAAAGATCGAGATTTTTATTTTACGAACGTAATGCATGCGTGCAGAGGCGCATGCGGCTGGCGAGACGAATTCGATGGCTTATTGTTTAAAAAAATAATTAAATTTTAGAAACCAATAACAATGTGCCGGCCGTCGGACGCATGACTTAAAATAAAATTAATTTTTGTTTTTATTTATTGCTCTCGAGCAGGTACGGCTGTGCGGAATTAAAAATCTGCTTCAAAAACTAAACAAAAAACTCATAAAACTTTATGTTGATGGGAAAACACTTCAAAATATTTATGAAATTTTAATTACTTTTTTTAAATATTTACCAATAAATCAATAAATTTTACCTTAAATCTAAGAATTTTGATGTGCAAGGTGGTCCAAAATATTTCTAATAGATTTTATAATATTTGTTTTACGAATTGTGCGATTTCAGCAATTTCCTGTTGTATAAACAGTAAATTTACCCATTCATACCTTCGGAACTATAGTTGCTCGGCGACCAAATACTGTTAAGACTTAAGAAGTAGCAAAAGTAGCCGTGGTAGCTGCTTGTAATGGATAAAGCGGTCGAGATATAAAGATGATAAAAGAAGTGATAGCAAGTGTGACGACGACGCCGCCGAGCCGCGGCGGTAAGGTGAATGGTATTCGGGTACAGACAGCGGAAGGTAGGTCGCAGCCGACGACGCAGGGGACGCTATAAATTGAACAAATACAATAAACAAAACGTTTTATGAGGTCCGAACTCCCAGGGGGTTCTGCACCATCTCGCCGTAAGCGGGCGCGCGCGAGGACGCACTTTTCGCTCAGGTGTTGACAAAGGGCATGTTTATGAGACCTATTTGAGGCCCATTCGTATGCAGATGCTTGGCTCGCTGTGGTGACCCTCTGCATTACAACTCTATTAAGCAACCAACAGAATGAGCCGGCTAATAATGCACAACTAGAACAACAATCGAGGTTAATGTCTCGGAGAGGGCCGATTATAATTTTATTTCGCGTCCAGGAGGGGTTTTTATGGCAAAAGGTGCGTTTTCGACTGATTGGTCACGCATCGGCCGAGCGCCACCCAAGCAGAAGCGTCGCGCGCACTCCAAGCGTTTTTATTGTGTTCATGCATAGATAACTTTTCGATGAGCGGCGAGAGAAAGGCCGAAAGCGTGAATGGAGGCTGCTTTTTCGGCGCCGGGGTCGGTGCCGCGTTTGATCCCTTGCCACCCTCCCACGGCAGGCGCGTTCTTCGCTACCACCTCGAGGATAAATATGTTTAATAAACAACACCCATTCCATTTGGAAATGTTACACATTCACACGTAGGTATTTCAAGCGTGAAAAAAATTCAATCAAAAAAATAGTAAAAAGTTCAATTTATTAAGAAATTAAGCCAACATCAAGTGTTTCAGGAAGTTATATCTCACCATTTCAAGATCTAAATTGAATGTGTAGAATGCAGCTGTTTATACTTTGGTAAATATGAATGTAGTAGGTAGGTAAATGTCAGTAAGTCAAAAGCAAAAAATCTGTTTAAAAACAAACAGATTATTGCCTATCACCCCCGGATAAACAGTTTATTCATTGGTGCTAAGCGAGTTCTCGGAACAAGCTTTTCATTTATCTGCTGCATTACGAATCGCAGTGCAATTGTCGACTTAAAATTGCGCGCCAGCTCGGATTTAAAGCCTATTGTGTAATAGTATGTAAGCGATTAACCACAGTACAGTGACAAACGGAATTGAACCTTAACGTTAGCCCACAGCTCAGGAATGATATCGGATGGTATATAAATATTAAGATATTTACCGCGTTATTGTATATAGAGGGTAGTTTTAGGCAAGTGCCGCTTGCAAATCGGCTCGCTGAAAACTACAAGATCTGCTTAGACAGATAAATATTTAACCGTTTTACATCTTTGCCTTAAGTAACTGTTAGAAGATGTGCAACGAGGCAATGTGTTTGCACTTGAAGCAGTGATGCACACAGGCATTGTAGGAATGAGCACCATCAGGACGATTTACCAATAAATATAATTGTGCTCGTTGCATTCGTGCTGCCTGCATATATAGAAGCCGACGAGTTTAGACGATTTGTGCGCCGGCGCGTGTAATAACAACTTGACGATAAACATCGCGTTATTGTTGTTTCTATGACTGGGCGCAAGGAGAACAAGCAGTTGCAACGAGTGAGTTTCGAGTTCAAAGCGACTCGCCACGTATGCCGCTCTCGTTCCCATGATAGGCCGTACCCTTTTTTTTATTATTTCCAAGTGTTTGGAATGTTTTGAATGAAATTTTCCGGTTTCTACATTTCTACAATTCTTTCATTCAACACTGCTGCTACTACTGCCTGTTGCTACTAGAGTAGATAAATGTTGAGGTTAAGTACGGACGTCACACCAGGACCTACTCAACATACTCTTAAAAGTAACGGTATGTAACCTACAGGATATAGCAGGCGTGATAGTCCTGGTGTCATGGGCCACCCATGAGTTTCGGAACGTGGTCGATTGTCGGCGCTCGTATACAACACAGAATCCAGCACATTGCTCTTAGGGTACACATAATAGCCCGGCTCCCTGTGGTGTGATTTTCCTCACTTTAAACACGCCAAATTATAGTCTTTTCTCTGTCATTTAACTATTGTTCCATCATAATTACCAATCGCATACCAGATATATGTACAAAATACCAGACACCTCACCGCAGATAATTTATTTCTCTCTTTGTTCTACAGATTCCAGCGCAGACCAAGCTTCACTTTGATTATCCTACGTGCTGCATGATATTTAATAACATAATTTCCTTGACCGCTCTTGTGGTGGTATGGCTTGTGGTGTGGTGTGGCTTGTGGTGATCGAAATGTTTACCAAATTATGATCAAACACAAGTCCGAAACGTTACAGACACCTTTGAGCGAACAAGGCTTCCATTAGTGCAGTCACTGTAGGCATTCATTTAATTAAACATCATTATCCATCGCGGGTCCATTACTAGGTGTTGGCTTTTGTTCTCTTAAAACATTTCACCATCATATAATAATAAAGCATCGAACAGTGTGGATTGCTGCTTGGGAATCTCAGTTTCTCACGCTACTTAAAACACTTTTACATTTCTCCTCCTACTTCATCTTCAAGTTGAAACTTCTTCGGAGAGTACGATCTTATCGGGGATTGTATCATTCACGACTTGGATCTGTACCGATACAAATATTAATTATATACCGGTAATAATTAATTATGATTATGATTATGATTACAAAACTTGAAATTATGAATGAAACCTGTTTCTAGTTGTTCAGTATTTGAACATACAGCGGAAGTCAGAATTTTGGACTTGTAAAGAAATAACCCAAATAAAATCGATCGATCAATCAGAATTTTAAAATGAAATAAAATTGCCTACAACCAATCCGTCATAATTTATTGAAATGATTGTGCATGTTGACAAATTAATCCACAAGAGAGTCGTCCATTTTATTTGATTACATAGTAGTAAAATGTTTGTTTAACAAGCTGAAAACCGCAAATTTATACGTCTGCTAAAGACTCCTTCCTGTTTTACGGCTTGTCTATTTTGATTCTGCGGCACACACTTCAAATTAAAGTGCTCTACACGTCACTTTTGTGGTAACACGTATATCTACTTAAATCTATTAGGATATAGGTACGTACTCAGACACATTTCATGCTTTCCGTAGAAAGATGACACTTCAATTTTTTTAGTAGAAAGTAAAGAAGTGAAGGCGAATCAAAGTTAATTCTTTACATGGATGGTTTATTTTTAGTGTCTCGCGATATTAGTGATTCGAATTTGTGTGTGGCCAGTTTCCGGGAAGAGTAAAAGTGAGCAATTCGTAATTATTATCGTCGATTACACAGTGAGCAGCTGTGAAGTCATGAATTATAACAATCCGCATCAGTTCCGTCGATTTTCCGGTTTTTTTCATCAAGCGGTAAGTTCCTGAAATGCTGCGTGATTATTTCCACATGGAATGTAGGTACAAAGCGCACCTCTAGAAGACGCATAAAGAAGCAGCGACAATGCAAAGCAAAGTAGCAATGTCCCCAGTGAAAAGAGCAACTAAGTGGGTATCATCAGCATTGTGCGAACGCACTTCCTTTCTGGCCATTCACACAGACTGGTGGCCGCATTGTTGCCCGTCGACGGAATCCGAGCAAATACTAGTCCGGGAGAGTGGGAGTTGAACACATGGGACGGGATGAAATAGATGACCACGCGAGATGAGCTCGCTCGCGATGGCCGTCCTACGGATTACCGTCGAAGGCGTGGCCCTCTCGCGCGATTGGCGTACCGGCGCGGATTAAGGAGGCCGCTCGCAATCCACACACGTGGATAAGGATCTCACGTGCCTTTGTGCGCGCGTGCATTAGTCGCGATCGGCGCACGGACGACCGTGGGTGGACAACGAGACGCTCCTCTCGACACCGCCGCAGACTCCTCCTAGCGCGTCGAGGCGATGCAACGACAGAGAGGTGAGCTATCGGCCGTGATCGGACGCCGTCGGTCAGAACGGGCAGCGCACAACCCCCTACCCACTGCCACACTGGCAGCCACCCCGGATTTAAGTAAATACTTAAGATCCAGGTGATATTGTTTATTTTTTGCGTTCGGGCGGTGAGGAGAGTGTGTGTAGTCGTCACACCGGAGACAGCGCGAGACGGGAGAGAGAGTGGCAGTGAGCACCTTCGAGCCCTCGAAGGCGAGACTTGTGCGCCAAGAGAGTTTTACATAATAACCACATCGAACCACAGTGTGTGCGGGTGGACGTGCGTACGTACCTATACAGTTGACGACGAGATTCGCAACCATGCAGTTCATCACAATGCGGGGACAATTAACGGGGATGAGTTTGTTGTGCGCTCTGCTCCTGTTTTATCTTATCGCCGAATGTCATTGTGAAGTGGACGTTAGAAACAAGGGACGTGGCAAGGGATCTATGTGGTGGTGAGTAATTTAAAAATCTTTTAAAACAAAGAATTTCGCGTGCAGTTTTGTCTTTCGAGGAGAGTCGCTTGTCGAAAGATCTCTCAACAGTCCGGTCACATACGCGCTACTTGACAATAAAGATTTACAATGTTCCGAGTCGAACATGCGCGCCGACCGCGATCAATCAAGGCCCTGTCAGCTGCTGTTCGTGAGACGTTGTCTTCGTCTTGCGTTTCGTCCACCGCCGACGACAACCACGCACCGCAGCCGCACGCGTCTATAAACGCATTTGTTTTTCATTATTTACGGCGAATAAAGACCGCAGCAAATGGACGAGAATGAAATCCCGCGCATTAAAGTCTCCCTGCAAGGACCACACCGACATTTTAATATAACCTCACTTTCTAATCAGCTCTCTAGCGATGAAACATGATTTGTGTCCGAATTGTTGACATTTTTACCATAGTGCTGTTGTTTTACATGACGTCAACAGCATTTTGATGGAAATGTCGCCGTTTTGGACAACCTGTCCAGCATCTCGTGCACTTTTCTAACACAAATATCACACCACCTCAATCGGAAATCATTTGTCTACCGGACAGCGGTGATTATTCATGCCATGTGGCCCAATTTAACCCCTATTAGGAGTTATCTGCTGTGTTAATACAACACATTAAATCAACACGTGATTCTGCGGAAACAATTAAAACATTGGGTGTTTTATTTTGTTGTTGTTTTGTTGCTTGATGCGCAATGTCATTTGTCTTTATGCAGCAATAATAAAACGCTTTATCTCTATATAAACGCGCACACGTCGGGTTCGCGCTAAAGGTCCGCGCGCGCATCTGAGGGAATCCGCCGGTGGTGTGGTCGTTTTTATTGCCGCCGCGCTGATGTGACATACCTTTCTTCGGCGATGGAATTTCGTGTAGATAAGGACTTCTTCACTTCTGGCCGGTGCGCGCGCGACCGCATCGCGATCGTTTCATCTTCGCCTCTCAATCTGTGTGCGCGCGTCCGGCGTTTTCTCAACCATTTTAACCGTTTCGGAATACGAAATAATCTAGATAAACGGTTTCTCACGCTTTTATAAATATCACACCACGCATACGGAATCACAGAATCCGGCCGGTAGATATTTACTTTTTTCTTCTTTTCTTCTTCATTTTCAAAAACTTTTGTTTGTAGTTTTATTCACATATAATACGATTACTAATTAACAACTGTTTGCAGGGGCATTGCAAAAGCAGGCGAACCAAATAATCTCTCACCATTGTCACCAAATGTCATCTACATGGACCACTCCGTACACAATACACTACGACGTAAACAACGACGCTTAGCACGTGAAAATCCTGGGGTATTGGTGGCGATTGCCAAAGGAGCCAACATGGCCATCCACGAATGCCAGTATCAATTTCGTAATCGCCGATGGAACTGCTCCACAAGAAATTTTCTACGGGGAAAGAACCTCTTTGGCAAAATTGTTGATCGAGGTGAGATAGACATCACAACCCTATTACGTTACGCACTGCTCACCCTTTTTGTATTTTTTGCGCGACTGTAAAAAGGGTCAACTAATATACTCGTCAATCGGCCATTAAGTAAGCTCCGGATAACATCCTAATTTGCATCACAAAGACAGCACGGGACGACTCGTGACATGCACCCGACGCAAATGTGACAGTTACACGCATTCACGACATGTACAAGGATTAATCTTACTCATGTACGACGCGTTCTGTTAATTCCACACTTTTTGAGTTTTGTCGAGAGTTAAGTACACGGAAAACGCACGGGCGTGTGCATTGGTTTTGTGTTGTGTTGCTTTGCGCTTCAAAGGGTTGCAAACCCAAATAGAGCCCCGGCGCACAAAGCACAAAGCGTTTTTGTGTGTTTGTTGAGCGCGCGCGCGCGCGCGTCTGCTTTTTCAATATCGCGATTGAGCACCCTAAAATAGAAATAGCAAGCCAGACAGACAGCACACGCGTACTTTTATCATTTATCACTAATTTACGAGACGGCGAATGGTGTGCATCCGAGCAAATCGAGCGTGCCGCCGTGCGCCTTATCAACGCATCGATCGTTGATTGAGGAGCCAAATTACCAATCAATTTGGTACGACTAATATATTTAAGTGCGAGCCGTGTGCGTGCGTGCTCCACATTTTTCTCTCCGGCGTGGATGCTGGACTTTTAAATAACAAATAGTCGGTCCAGATGCGTAGATAACGGCTACTTGAAATACCACTTTAAATGCTTTCTGCTTCTATAAAACTACCAAAAAAACTACCTGCTATCGTTGTAATGTGTTTATGTGATTTGGATAACGAATATATTGTATACTTCGGGCGCGCTCACGAAGAAAGCGCTCGGTGTCTGTCCCACGAATTAGTTTAATTAAATCAGCTGACAAATTATTTTCTTTCAATAACTTGTTTTCTAGCTACGGGTAAAAAACGAAACTATTTTCAACATTTTCTAAGAAGTTCATTTCGAGCTTCAATACTGTAATAATGAGGATGCAATAAACGAGCTTTCAGAGCTTTGAAATATACCAAACGGTAAGCGTGACAGATCACTTCTATCAGATTGAATGCCATCCATAAATCTTATATTGTCGCATAGGACAAAAACTACATTGTTGCGCCAATAAAAATCTTATTGTTATACAAGCGTGGCAAAAACCATTGATAATGTAATTATCGCGCCTTAAATTTGCTCAAAATTATTTTTTTAAAATTTAAACTGAATTATCTAAATCTTATACCTATGCCTAGGTACAAGTGTTCTCTGAGTTGAGTTACGAGTCGTTCGGTTAATGCACGACCCCCTGCGGTCAACGCTTGTAATTACGTCATCACGTTGCCCCCCATCGAGGGCTACACTATACACCACAATGATATATGCCGCACGCAGAGGTCAGAAGAACTCGACCAACTGTTGAAAACTTTCGGGTTTACTCGTAAAGTACTACACCGCGTGAGAAGTGAGAATGTTTGCGATTAATCACTCGCCGCGCGCGCACGCGCGTTTTTGTTTGTTTTGCTACCGCATGTGACCTCTCGGCATTTGACTACCGCTGAAATGGTGCGAATCGCCGACGAAATGATTGATGGCCGGCAAGAGAGAGCGCGCGCGGAAAAAACGTGTCATCGTTAATAATAATCGCGAAATCGCGACGACAGCGCACGTTTCATGAGATCATAATTAACGAGAGCGTCAAGTGATGTGAAATGTAAAATAAAATACGACCGCTTACAAGTATACCTACGTGGGGACGTGCGTGAACCGACGTGTGTTCCTTTTGCGTCGACGCAAACTTTTTGCAAACACGAATCATATATACCTGCAATACCGCATGTTGTGCAACGTGACTTACATCTTAGGTTAGTATTTGAGGTTAGGATATTTTTGAGTGTTGTAAGAGCAGACTGTGTGGCGTGTTGCTGTTGCACTGCTCTTGTTCTGTGCAAGTTTACGGCTTTGTAATTGAGTTAGTACGAAGTTCGTTCCATATTCTCCGACGGCGCGGATGCGGCAATGGCAGCAACTTTTAAAATAATAAAATATGCTCACGTACGACGATGCGCACGATATGTGCGCGCGCCGCGGCTGAGATATGACATCGGCGCGCTGGTTTATTATGGTGTTTTGCTTTATTGATGCGATCGGAATGCACTGCGGTGTTATAATGTTCGTAATGTTCATGCGACACGACGCATCAATAATTCAATCAATGATTGATTTAATTTTTTTCCATCTTAAGTCTTTAAGACTGTAAGATCTAATATAGTTATTATAACTGATGTGTGTTTTTCGTGTTGTTGCAGGATGTCGAGAGGCGGCTTTTATTTACGCCATCACAAGCGCGGCTGTTACACATTCAATTGCACGAGCCTGCAGTGAGGGGTCAATTGAAACGTGTAACTGTGATTTTAGCCATCATAAAGGCCGGCCGCACTCTTCAAATAGTCCAGCGGTGTCAGGCGTACGCGATTGGGAATGGGGCGGCTGTTCGGACAACATTGCGTTCGGCTTTAGATTCAGCCGTGAATTCGTCGATACAGGCGAGCGCGGTCGCAGCCTCCGGGAGAAGATGAATCTGCATAACAACGAAGCTGGTCGAATGGTGAGTACCTACATACTTACTGGATTTCATTTTCGGACGAGTCGAAAAATGTTACAAAACGCGCGCGCGCGAGCACACATCTATACCTATATATTTATGTATATGGCGGGTAATTAAGCGCTAATTAGCGCTATCTCATTTAAGAGTTATGCCATGCCATGCTGCCGTTGTCGATATTGCTGGCTGGCCGATGCCGCAATAAACTAAATAACAACGCTAAATAACTCGAGGTCGGTCGCTCCGCTTCGGTCGCTTGCCGTTCGATTTCTTTCTCGGTCGGCATCATCATCAGGCAGGCGCATTCGACGTTTGCGCGCTTCATTTAACTCTAGATTTACTCGACTCCGCATCCGACAAGATGAGAAATTCGCTTCATGCGCCGCGCATTTTTATCGCACCGCAAAAAAGAAACACTTAATCGTAATGTGCAATTTAATTAAAATGAATTGAACAATAAATAGTTATTATTCCGCCAGATGTGCGTGATTTTATTAAATATTTTTTATATTTTAAATTTTACTGAATGAATGGAAACGTCGCGCTCGCGTCGTTTTATAGACCGCGAACACATGTTCTATGGGACATTATCTAGTGTAACGCGGTGTTGTCGCCGCGGGATGCCGCCGCCGAGAAGAGAGACATCTGCGCTCACTCAACGGGGGGTCACTTTACACCGCCACACCGGTTCTCGACCAGATTCACTGGGCTCTTCCTGATATTTCAACTTGCACAATTGTAGGTAATCGTATGTGTTTGTGTTGTGTGTTGCACGTGACACGTCGTGTGGGGTGTCAATAACACAAAAAAACGCAGCAAATTAATACATAATAAGTGCGTTTATAAAGCATTACGCGCGCGGCTTTAATCGCGCCGGACAAAGCGCTTTCGGCTGCACACGCGAGATGAACATGTAAAGATCGCTTTTTGAGATGCGCCGCGGCCGCGGCCCGAGGAGCGAAGAAGTCGAGCGCGGCTTTTAATAACGCGGCACCGGTTCCGTGCCGCGGCGAAATGGGTCGCGCCTCGAGGCCCATGTGTCATTTCATTAAATATGGGCGGTCTTAACAAGTTAATATGCATTTTAATAAAAACCCGAACCCGACCACCCGGTATTAATGATCGGGACCATCGAGCGCATAAATCATAACCGTTCTCACACCATGAATGTCATCTTCGTTTCAATTTTCGTAATATTATTCACAAAATTTGTATTCTTAGGTTTTTTGTGTGTTTACAGCACGTGCAAAGCCAGATGCGTCAAGAATGCAAATGCCACGGCATGTCCGGATCGTGTACGGTGAAGACGTGCTGGATGCGCCTGCCACCGTTCCGCGTCATCGGCGACAACCTCAAGGACCGCTTCGACGGCGCGTCGCGGGTAATGGTGAGCAACGCAGGTGCGCGCAACAACGCGGCTAGCAGTCGGCCGAAACAGGACAAGATCAGCAACAGCATAACCTCAAACAGCATCCACTCCAAACGCGAGAATAAGCCACGGAAATACAAGTACGGCTTTCAGCTGAAGCCCCACAATCCCGACCACAAACCTCCAAGCGCCAAGGATCTCGTCTACATGGAACCATCGCCTGGCTTCTGCGAAAAGAACCCTAAACTAGGTATTCAAGGCACACACGGCCGTCAGTGTAATGACACCTCCATTGGCGTCGACGGTTGTGACTTGATGTGCTGCGGGCGCGGATACCGCACGCAGGAGGTGGTCGTCCAGGAGCGCTGTAACTGCACGTTCCACTGGTGCTGCGAGGTGAAGTGCGACACGTGTCGAATCAAGAAAACAATACACACGTGCTTATAAACACAGTAATTTAAACATTTAAAACACCCTGTATAAAAATCATCATCATCGTCATCATCATCACACACACGTTAAAAACGCTTACTCGTGTTTAAATAATTATGTTTAATTAACGAAATCGTTGGTTTGTTGGTACGCCCCAAAGTATTAATTACGATTTAATTGCGCTGGCCGCTACCCTCCGCGAAGCAAAACTTAACGATTTTCACACAACACAGCTACACATATACATGAGGACACGCCAATCAGTATTACAGACGCAGGGAGTTTGCGCAAGTTGTACATAACCTATAAAGACTGATTAATAATTTAATTGTTTATTTATAATTACTGCATCTATTTACGATAATGGTATTAATTTAATTATGCTCGAGTCATATATGTGTGTTATCTATACGCTGCTGTCTTCTCATAGATCACTTAAGTGCTTTATTTAATTCGTGTACATATGCGCTATTAGTTTAATATTTATTCGACGTGTACATAGAGAATTAGCCCCCCCGATACTCAAACATTTCTTTAGTTGGTTAGTGTGGTTCAGCGTCCAGGGCAACATTTATCGCGCGTAGCTGAAAGCCACGCGACGTTTAAACGCGCTCGGCTAGCCGACCCGCTCTCAGAGTTTGTGACATGTTAAATTATGTAAATATAGAGCAATTAATTATTATTCCATGACTGTATTATATAACTTAATTTCATTAAGTGTACATAATCGCGCTGGAACATGACAAGTGGCACGCAGCGACTTGCACATACGTGTTGCGATCATTTTTAACGTACTGACATATATGTTTTCTCTTATTTAATTATGGAAATGATTTTTTTTGGAAAATAAAATGTAAAATACCTGTTCACATCGAGTTAGTTTATTTATTTTCACATTATATGCTACCACTCAAACAAAACTATGATGGAAATTGGAAGCACATATACCTACATATTGATTAAAACCCCATAAAAACTAAAATATTTGCAACATTATTAAATGCAGCGCATTGGCAAATATTTATACAAGTATTGTAGAGCAAGTAGGTAGGTACCTTATTCTCCAACCACGTATCCGCATAGTTGTTTTCAAAGACTTGAATTATTTTAGTTCAAATCAAAACGCATGTTTTTAGAGAAACAGTTCCGAAAGAAGTTCCTATTGGCCAAAAAGTATGTTTTTTTAAAGGTTATGTCAAAATCACATCACATAACACATCAGCAAATTATTATGAATATGAATTGGCTAAACGAGTGTTTAACATCGTTTTGACACGTGATGCTTTCACTATTTTTTTTACTTCCACTCTATTTCCACGTTTCCGATTTTGTATTTAAAATTTTGAATCTACGAAATTCGCACACTATTTGGAAATGTATGGTTATAAATGTCGAGCCGCACCGACACGACCAGAAACAGCAGCGTCTGCTTTGACTCGTTTAACTAGCGGCGCATGGCACTTCATATGATCTTGTGCTACACCGTAGGCAAATGCGCAGCTGCCAGCTCCGCCCCGTAAATAATGCCCGTAGATAAAGTACTTTACTCACGGCTTGGCCGTCGATATATAAAGTGCCACTTTTTGTGTTTAAAATCCGTGAAAAAACTGGTGCTTTATAGATGGAAGTCAAAAAAATGTTTATAATATTCTATTTATGATAAAAAAATAAAATTAATTCCATTAAATAATTAAATTCCGATGACATTTATGGATGAAGGAACACGAAGTTTGCCACAACAACAAGTGGTTTGTATTTAATAATTTCAGAATAATAACATGCAGGTAAGTAGGTACCTACATTAAACTTTTAAAAGTATTAAAGCATAGCGTGTCGGTGAATGTGAACAACAAAAAATTACCCGCTTTTACCAACGGACAGCGTGGAAGTGATTCTACGGGCTGAGAAGCACGACTTCAATGCCGCTTACATAATGCACGGTGACAGTGGCACTTAAGCGCAAGCGATTGAGGCGAATTGAACGCAATAATTGCCGGTGTGCGATACGCACACTCGGATCAGTAATCTACATAATGCCGTGCTTGAATTGTCGGCGTTTTGCATAATGATGTAGTAGCACTCGTCTGCAAATCGCACAATAAATGAATAAATGCAAAAGACCATATTGTGCGGTACCCATTCAAAGGACAACATTTTATTCGTCTTCATGCCAAAAACAAACCTACCTCACAAGTATTCTGAGTATAATTCAATTTGATGTTTAACACTTGGTCTGGTTATAATTAGATTATCTTGTGACATATTTCCACACTGCTACTTAATGTGAAAATTAGTTCCGTGCTTCATAACAACATAATTACAACGGTGTGGCGGCGGGATGCGCCCGCAGGTGCACAACAATAAAATTTAAATGCGTGTTGACAATTTTAATTCGCGTTTTATATCATCTTTAATGTTTGGACTTTATTAGAGTGTGTGGTATGGACGGCGGCCAGTGTATGTTATAGCCACACACATGTTGGCTTCACACGCGAGGTTGGATGTGCGAATGTGTAAACAACAGTAAAAACAGTCAAAACAACACTCGCGACATGGCATGTGTGATTCATGTCGGTCAGACCCTGAGTTCGTGGTCTATCTACAGCATCGTGTTTTGTCATTATTATCATCCGCTTGGGTTGTACTGGTTTTCTCACACGTCGGTCACACTTATCCCACAACGGTATGCATGGCGGTAGACTTTATACGAACCCTGTGTGTTTTGCAATTAATATACGTCCAGGTTAATTAGCTGGTAAGTATGGTTAATTATTTTGTTCTTATCGAAGTGTTATTATAATAATTATTTGGATGTAGAATGAAAAGTAAATAAAACATTTTAGTCTGAAACATCTAGAAACGGCAATCAATGAAAATTCTACGGGGTGAACCTAAAATAAGCATCTTAGAGTTTTATTTTAGTTTTTTTATAAAAAAAAAATAAACAAAGAATTATGCCGATTTAATCAAAATAATGATTTTTACGAATTAAAAATATGAATAATGAAGCCAGTGTTCAAACATTAGGTAGGTATATGGGTATTTACTTATGCCATTTTGTCATTAAAAGAATTGTTTTGAATATTTTAGTACCGCAAAATCATTTGACGGTAATTTTTTGCAAATCAAATTATAATTCTGTGATGGATATGACGTGAAATTGTCTATATTGTATTAATTTCATGGACAAATAGACAACGTTAATTATATTTTTGAAATATCTTTGTTTGATTTTCTTTGTGCACTGGCAGCGTGGCTGAGAGCGTTCGGAATGCGCACTATCACCGCCATGGTGGCGATAAAAGGTAGGCAAATTGAAGTTGCGCTTTAATAAAACTTTTAATTATTTTTCGAAAATCGCCGGCATTCCGCGCGTTTTAATTACAATCGGGTATTCATAATCCGGCGTGGTGCACTTCGGCATGCGTTTCATTATCTCGCGAGCGGGCAGGCACCCTTCTTGCTCGCACGCCGGTTGAAAAGATGGAAAGCGCTTCGCATTGCTGATGCAAACCGGGCAAACATATCAAACGCACTCGCGCTCGTATCATTGCCGCGGCACTTTGTGCGGACGGCGTATGCCACCGCGCTCAATCCAATCATCGGGCGGCCGCAAAAATTCCATTCGATGGAATGTGGATCCTGGCAGGGCAGCAGGATGCGCGCCGCGAGCGGATCGAAATTTGTTTAGCGTGTGAACTTTCGCCGTTTTCGGCGCTCCCAACTCGCTGCGGCCGCGTTTTTGTCCGTTTGGGGCGGCGTGAATACGCAAAGAATTTCGAATTAACTGGAAAGCAATGTTTTCATGCTTGTTTTACAGAATACTGCGCTGCAGTTGAATTCGAATCGAACAATGCGCAAAACTATTTCATTAAAATATTTCGCGAAATCAGAGCACAATTCCTACAATAAATTATTTAAATTATTTTCAACTCAAACATTTTATTCCTATTTAATTAAATTGAGCAAAAACGTTGAATTTATTCAAAACAAATGTTATTGACATGAACAGGTTTGTGAAAGATTGAACTAGATTGAATAATAATAATTGTTAAAATATTCATATGAATTTAATAACTGGGCAATTAATTGAATTTTATAAAAATTCAATTAAAAGTAAACACCGCAATCGAATTCTCGAGCTTTTGAAAAATGTTAATGGATAGTAATAAATGAGTCGAATAACCAGTCGCTGACTGCCGCCGCAACGAACGATAGGATGTTTATATTTAAATTGTATTTAATTTTTATTAATCAAAATCAATTAGTTATTAATAAGTTGGCTTATCTCGGGCGTATCGGTAAGTTATGTTTATCGCTTCTCGTTTCCGACCGCGGCGCTCGATCGAAATTGATGAAAGCAGAAAGAGAGATGACGAAGATTTGGCAGCTTACTAATTGTATCCGCTGATAAAACCATTAAATTAACCCATCACCGGTTAATGAATTCATCGATCAGCATCACACATGTACGCATCGCGGTCGTCGTGCGTCTGCTTCGGTGATTCCGAAGGCGCGCGCGGTTTTACACACACGCCACACGTGAATTTATTAAAAGCGGTTTTGTTGAATCTTTTTAACGAAGCGAGGAGAAAGAAGCCGCGGCCGCTCAGCTTATGTCGTAGAGGAATTAACGCTCTTCCTTATTATTATGATATTAGTAAATTAACCCGGACGTTTTCATGATGCGTGCCCACGAATCCGTGAAATTATTTTTGTTCTTGATTATCTCTTATTGGCCGCCGTCGTCGACGGCCGCGACGTGGCAGGGCCTACAGCAAAGTGTCCTTTACCATTTCCAAATTTCGAAACGTCAAACCGTCAGCGGTCAACCCGTCTGTATGCGGATATATGGAATTCGATTTTGTCGTCGGCCAGTGGCCAGTATGACGAAGGCGCTTGCTGAGCATGGACGTGGACGAATATTTGTGACAATATTCGGCGTTCCCACGCTCCTGCGGCAGCTAAGCGCGCGCGCCGTTGAGCTCGAGCGCCGTTTTTCCTTTTGCTTTTATTCCCGGCGCGCTTAATGCCGCATCTCCATCGATGACAACGTTTTTGTATCGGTCGAGCTGCGCGCAGTTAATTTCTCAACGCATGTGCGCGTACGCTTCCCGTCTTCTTTTCATAAATTCTTTTTTCGACGGCGGGGAAATGTTCACCGTAGCCCCGTAAATAAGTGTGGACGCAATCGCGCTTCGGCTCGCTCGTATTTTATGCTCCGATATTACGTGCATTATCAATCAGGGAGTTTTCGTCCGCGCCGCGAACCACATTTTTGGACTAGTTTCATTAGGATACTACAGCACAAATCAATTAAATTTACTCAAGCGTTACGTGTTTGATCAGAATTTCACTCCGATATATACCTAATTCTACGTTCTTTCTTATTTCTGACATTTCTGATTTTTTTAATACAAAAAAAGAATATTTAATCGAGTTATAATCTAATGAAAATTAAAATTAAACTTTGTTCAAACTTGACTGGATAACAAAAATAAAATAAAATGGAATTCTTTGTTTCTTGATAAATTTTAATCAATCACAGGCGCCTTCACCATACTTTATTAACTTGTGTTTTTGCTGTTGTTGTTGGGTTATTATTTTATAAATTTTATTTTATTCAAAATATTTATTTCTTACCTATAATCTAATAAGTTAAAAAATTGGGAATTAAATTTGGTTATCTTTTTTCTACACTTTCTATAGAATATTTAAATTGATTAGGTACTAACTTCTACTCTATCACCTTTCCCCCCCCCCATTTTTGCTCAAATCAGTTTCTTAGAGACCGGAGATGGCAATCCATTCGTGATGACAATAATACAGCACCTTTAGTGGAGCTAAGAACATGTTAGTAATATTAGGTATTAAGCGTATATGCTAAGCACATGTATGAAACCGTTTGAAAATGAAAGAAAAGGAAGCACGCGCTTTCTTCTGCAGACGTGCGCTCTTTTACCGGCATCAAGTGAGTAACTCGATATTATATTTATCGACGTTCGGTGGGTTCGTAGTCTGTGCGCGCATCGACATCTAGCCGATTCCGCGCAGCGCAAACCGCAGCGAACAAACGCAATTGTCACGCCTATAAAAAAGCGCCGATGGACGGAAAACCGTCATGTGCGCGCTGTTAATAAAGGCAATCATAATAAACCGTGGCTTACCCTTGCATGCAATATGTAATCGAAACTCGGTTAACCCCCAAACACTAAACTTGTGATATTACTGGCTATATAAAAACAAATGTTATTAATTTAGGGTTAACGTGTAATGTACCACGATGGGTGCACATATGTGCGGATGGAGCCGTGCGGTTTGATTCAATTGTCGTTTTGCGAAGCAGGAAGTAGGCAGTGCCCGAGATATCGATTGCAATGCGCAATTGAGCATAGAGATTTCGGTTTATTAAGACACACCACAATGTTTTATAGAGGTGTGCACGTTTTTGTGTGTGTGTAAGATTTTTTTTGTGATCCGGCTGTTTCTTTCTTGCGGTGAGTGCGCGCGCGCGCCGGCCCCGGTCACGTAGTGGACGTCGGACGCGGACAGAAGGTGTGAGTTGTTGGGTGTTCGAGCGCTGGGCAATTAGAACGCCTTTTGCAACAGACTAATGATGACCCAGGGACCTCGGGGCGTTAGTTCGGACCACCCAGCCGAGCCGCGGTCGCCGCTCGCCGCGGACGCAATCGTCTCCTTCGTGGAGAGCCCCCGTGCCGTCTTTATTATGTTATTACACAGATATCAGTCTGAGCGCGCCAGGCCTGGACTATTTGCGCGCATCGACCTGTCTGTTCGTGTCCGATTATTACGATCCTGTCGATTGCCACCTAGATGGTGCGCGGCACTGACGCAGCACAAGTCTGTCATTCGAAACTTCATTTATCATCAACTGTTGACATCGAGCCTATTGTTCGCATTGTTACCATTTTCACGTGGCGTATTTGTGTGCACAGATGCATTGCGTTTCGAGTATTTCAGTAACGTATCAATAAAACGAGATGAGCATGACGCTGACTTCTTCGCGGCGTGCCATACCATTTAGTTTTACTGTTAATTCGACGATTATCCACTATGCACTTTAGAAAATTATTAACGAATTCATCAGTTGGCATCCGAGATAATTAATTATCTTGAATGCAATTCAAAATTGAATTGAGAACTTTAATTTTTGCCAATGTGGGAATAATAGAACGGAAATGAATTTTTGACAACATTCAATATCAATATTTTATGCATCTCATTGATCGTCCATCACCACGATGAACCAATTTGATTTCTGTGTGTAATCGCCGGTTGATTGTTGTGGGCGAAATAACTTCTCATGATGATCGCCGTGTAACATTCTGTATGACGAATGTGAAATTCGTGCGATGTCGCGCAACTGTTTGGTGAGTACGTGTAAAGTTGTGAAGTGCTGTAGCGGAGCTACTTACTCATCATAAAAACGAAAGAAATGGGCAATAAAACTTGTCGAGTGCGTGCGTTTTGCTTTCCGCCGGTCGTGCGCTACGCTTTTACGCTTTCGCACACACGTTACGTGTGCGTCGGCGATGGCGATGCGTAACTTGCGGTTGACACAACTCCATCATACTGTGCGGACGGACCGTGAAATGCGCGGAATATCACACGGTCCGCATCTCGAATGAATAAATCAGCTGGCGGGGCTTTTTTCGCGTCCTATGTGTGCTGAATCAAAACACGCCCGACACCAAATCATCCAACACCCACATTTTGCGACGTGCAAATCTTACTAAAATGCAAACATTATAATAACCTAAAAATATTTTAGGAAGGTTTAAACTTGCGCATGCGCAGTAAAAGCATATATTAAATTTTGTATACTCATGATACGTAATGCCTTGCTTTGTAATTGTAAGTGTCTTTCCTTTCGATCGATCCCTTCAACATCACGCGCTTGGAGCAACAATGTTGCTGATGGTTTCGTGTCGCTGCGTCGGGCGGTATTTGCGCGCGGGGCGAACGGATTGCATCGACTGATGGATATGATGACAGCTCTCACAACGTACAAATGCACAAGAACAATGAGAGTAAGTGACTAGCATTAATGGACTTTAATTTATCCACATACCTCTCGTGCGTACGACGTTATGTTATTTATGTCTGCTATACTCAGGTTGTTACAAAATTTCCAAGCCAAACTTTATAAACAATCGATTAAATCAATATAAATCATTAAAAATGTTTA